CTCACCTATAAAGCGAATGACATGATTTCTAACTTATTTTAATTGATTAACTTAACACTTATCTTGCATAAGTTTTTATAGGTTAATATTTGACACTTTTCAAAGATCTAAGTATATGCCCTATTCTAGAACTGCAAGTATGTAAAAGAACCTGGCAGAATTTAAAACGTAAGTGTAATAAACGAGGGACCTCTGTTGTTTACGAATGAAACATGGGGGAACACTCATTCAAAAAAAAAAAAAAAAAAAAAAAAAAAACATACATGAACACATGATTGTTTTGACAGGTTGCCATATGGAAACGGTTCTATTTTTTAAAGGGGTACCATAGACTTCACGAAATAGCAGTGCTATTTTCGGTTCTATATGTTCTATATTCGGTTCTATTTACATTTTTTTTGATATCATTAAGGAAAAATCGTTTATCGTAGTAAAATAGCTTTTAATTCTTGCAATATTGAAAATTATATTATACTTCATTGACAACATCCAACTTTATTAAAAATAAAAAATATCTCGTTTGAAAAATACGAAATCGTTTATGATTTTAATTTCCCAACATATATATACAATAAAAGACAATTGTAACACATAAGAATAGATTGCGACAATAATATAAATCGTTGAATAGAAAAAATTGACATTTTACTTTTGCCAAAAGTTCAATAATTTTCATGGTAGAACTAAGAAGGTAAAGTCATACATCATTTGTCAAAAATTCATTGTACATACACTAATCAAAGATGGAAACCTGTATTCAATGCAGTGAAACAAGGTGAATTACAGAAAATGCAAAGATGGGAATGCTTATTTGAAATAACTTTACCTTCTTAATTTTACCATGATAATTTCCAAAGTCGTTCTAGCAATTACCTGTGTTCACGGATAAGTGAACATGTTTTTATAATAAAAGAGAATAACGGGGCTACCTAGTGTAGATGAGATGGATTTGTTAAACTGGGATCTTCTTAATACAGTCCACATGAAATACGATAAGAAAATGTGGTGAGCAGACCTTCGAGTTAGAAATAAATAATACAGAATTTTCAATTACTGCATGTGTTATGGTGGAGTTAGATTATGGGATGTAATCTTTACTCAGACTGATAAGCAAGTGCAGCATGTTTGCTTGCCACATGTGAGATAGCTATGCGTGTGTATGACCTCCCCCTAAGGTTTATGGTGGCATGGTGCATATGCATGTGTACGGTTGGTATCTATCTCTCTCTCTCATTTACACTTAGTTATAATTTAGGTTAAGTCATATTATCACAACTAGTTCTTAAAAAATGTTTTTAATAAATAAATTCAGTGTCTTACAAACGCTCAAACGGAAAAGACGTTTGGTCTTTTAATTTATCCCAATTTACAACCTGAATACAATGGTAGTATTGTATTGTCATAACATATTTAATTTTTTTATTGTTTAAAATCATAAACAAATTAATTTTGAAAAATTTTAAATAAATGTTTGTGTTTAGGAAAGAAAAAGAATTGTAGTTTATTAGGAATTCGCTATTGTGAAAAATCCGCGGCATTCTATCCATATTTCACGATTTTCTCTTAAATTAAATTTTTGTGAGAATAGTTTCAAATAAACCAAGCAGCTTGTTGCATTTGTTATTAGTAAATTTGAATTTTTAGGTCATTATATTCCATTTTAACAGACAAGCTAGTCGAAGCTGGGACCTCTTTCAATAAAATCAAACGAAGTCGTAGGAACCATTATTTAGATCTAAAAAGTTCCATTATTTAGATCTAAAAAGTTCTCCGAGCAGATCTACCACGTATTATCTAAATTGTAGTATAAATTAAGTGATAAATTGAGATTGAAGAGGTGAAATAAATTTTGAAAGATTTAACGCAAACGTTAAAAATGTATATATTTAAATGAAATTGGGAAAGGGTCTATCAGGCGGAATGTTTTTTACATATGTGCTGTCAATTTTATTATACATCTGCATTTTCTTGTGTATGTCAAAAAATCATTTTACACATGATTAATAGTGTTTGTTTCTATTTTTGCATTCATCAGGATCCCTATCAGGCATGACATAAACTCCAATCGAAATGCTTTCAATTCCGTAATTTAAAATCGATCGTTTTTGATTCAGCTTTTGCTTCGGATCCATTGTGCTACCCTAGAGCAGTGTGAGCATTTCAATAAAAAGTTTAGTTTTAACTTATAAATAAATGTTTGTGCTTGAACCTAAATGATCATGCAGGTGATAATGAACATTTCAAAATACATATTTCCATGATACAATAAAAAGGTAAGGAAAGGCTACCAGATTAAATTTTTTTTCTAAGTGTGACCGACTCCTGTCAATTTTGGGTATGTATTCATGGTTTGGATGCTGGCACGCATTAAGTATATAAACCTGTTTTGCCATGGAATTTAAAGATTCAACAATTGTTATCATATTTTTTAAAAGAGAGAGCAAAATACCAAATAAATTAAAAGAACTTGCATATAAAATTGAATAATTCGACAGGAAGCGGGCATAACCTCAGGGCTGTATTTCTGTAGTTTTACGAAGCTGTTCTACCTCCTTCTTGTTTTTTTTTTTTCTATATTTGCTTCTATTTATTATTCCGGGTGAGATTGTTTTATTTTTACAAATCAATATTTTTTCAGGTTTTCAAGAAAAAAAATATGTGGCAACACTTTGTAAATAATTGGCTTCGCCAACTAAGAAACATTATGGCACGTTTTTATTTATTTTATTTATAGACCACTTTTGTTATCCCTTACTTTAGGAAAACTGAAGTATAAAGTTGACATTATCGGGTTCTCATTGTTACATCTTTCCTTTAAAGTATGTGCATTTTTTACAGAGATATGGCATGTTTTTTTTAAAGTAACTGGTATTCAATGCATTTTTCCACAATGGCATCTTCATTTTAGTTTCAAAATAATAAACGAAATGCAAATTTGTAATTAATTTCGTGAAATAAATTTATAAATCAGTTCTTCAATATAAAATAAACGATTTGCGTTATCCATTTTTTATTTAAATAAATTTTGCTGTTGTTGCCATATGATCAATAAAAATATGGCAACATGAATTCAGGACAGTTCATCCTTAAATGAAACTTGTAATAATGAAAAACGATTTATGTGTCCGACAACATTACTTTTTTAACTATCGGCAAGATGTAATAACCGGCCTAACTTTATTAAATTTTGCTAATTAGACCCCATAAAGTACATATGTTTATAATCAGCATAAAATTCTAAGTCGATTTAACGATGCCCGTCTGTCTGTCTGTTGAAATCACGATACAGCCCACATTACTTGAGGTAGAATTTAGCAGAACAATTTGTATTGTGGTTCGTTGGTATTGAAAATGAGATATATCGGTCCACGTTTTGGCATAGCCCCCATTTAATGGTGGAGGGTATTAAAAGTTCGGCCCGGCCGAACTTAATGTTTTTTACCTGTTTGTAATTTACCTTGTCCAATTTAACTGTATAAACAAGTAAAAAGTCAGCTATGTTTTAATGCCCTCCACCATTTAGAAGAAACTTGAAAATTTAAAAAAAAATTACGAAAAATACCGCTATACCTTTATACGGACACTATACGAAGACGTGGACTTGAGTAAGAAATTTTTTGTCATAGGCTGGTAAATTTGTCATAGATCGCTAAAATCTTCAAAATACCGAATAATAGAGATATACCGTCTATTTTCTGCTAAAGGAGGACGTGGATCTGCATACGAAATTTTTAGACATAGGCTGCAGTACCCATTAACATCTTCAAATACGAAATTTGAAACAATTCGGGTGAATAATGTCGTTAGAATCGCCAAAATACCGAGTTTCTTGAGGTACCTTTATATAGGGGCTATGCGAAAACGGGGACCGACATGGCCCATTTACGAACTACTACTGGCCTACTGGCAAATACACATGTGTGTAACATTTTAGCCTTCTAGCTCAACTCGTTCGAAAGATATGGTAATTACAACAGACAGACGGACATCGCTAAATTTTCTTAGAATTTTACGCTGATCAAGAATATATACACTTTGAACGGAATGACAAAGCTAATATACCCTCCATAGAATGACGGAGGGTCTAAAAACAGGTTCTCAAATTGTTTTTCTGTATATCTAATCAGTTTATGAATAAACATATAGATAATGAGATGTTGTCAAAGGAGCAAATGACCGTACAATTTTACATTAATTATTCTTACATGTTTATTCTGTAATATCGTCCAAAAATAGTCTATCCCATTTTCTCCACACATTTATAGAAAAACACAATAGTGATGAGCACTTGTCACCAGCTTATTTCTTACATCACTTATTTCTTAAGTCACTTAAATTGCGTGTCACTAAATGCAATTGCAGATTGTTCAATAACCTAAACAAAGCTTGTAAAATATTAGGGATTTGGGTTTTGAACTTTTGTTTAGAAATTAACTTAAAATACAGTACATATTATGCCATAAAAATCTTATAAAGGTATCCTAATGTACTTCTTTACATACAAGATCTTCTAATTTTTTCATAGATAGAAAATCTTTTAGATAGTTCTTATAGGTATCGGGGTTAATTATTTATGGAGGCTTTATATTTCATCTAAATAGTTTACTTCTAGAAGTCACCGATTAATTGAAATTTTACTAAACATACGTTTGTTATAGAATGTAGAATTTTTTAAGTAATCATACAAAAAAATCCTAGAGGCCTATGTGCATAGGAGGATTGTTTTATGGCAGCTTATTATTTACCAGCATCTTCTACCGTGTTTTATTTATTAATTGTTTTCTTATTTATTAAAGGTTTTTTTGTTTTTTGAAAATCCCCCCTTTTCTCTTGTAAATAATACTAACCTGAGTAAAACCCTAAGAAAATAAAACAAAAAGAAATTAATTTAATTCAAAGTAGCAAAAACTTGCCATTGATACGACGTCATTCGTCGTGTCGTTTGCTTTTTGAAATGCTCAATTTAGTACGACGTGAGACGACAAGTTGTGAGAACATTTTATTGTTCAACTTCTCTCGGTTTGGGGACACTTTGTCGGACAAAAGCTGTTTGTTTATCGCGCGCGTTTTCATTTCATTGCAGTTCGAATAGCCGGTGAAGGAGGTTCGTAATGGTCGGAGTTTTTCGAATAATGCATTAAAGTTTCTCTGGATTAAAAGACAACAAAGAAAATTAATAAAAAAAAATATATATTTCACTTGCAAAAACAAAAATTTAATCGAGAGAATTTGTATGAACAATGGACATTTAATATAAGTTTTAAACAAATACAAAGTCAAACGCATCGTAAGATATACATATTCTTATTAGAATAAAAAACCAAAAATACAAGTGTTGAAGAGGAAATAAATACAAAACAACAACAAAACTAATTACAATTCAAAATAAATAGTCGCTGTTTGTGTGTATTTGAAATAATTGCATTTGTTATTTACCTAAAATGTTTCTACGAAATTCATTGAAAATAAAACCGTGTGATAATGAAACCGGCGGCGATAGTGTTCGTCAAAAAATCCAAATGCTGTATCAGTGGTTAGCCGACAATCCCAATATTAATGCCAGAACTGATTACGAGAACTTGGAGCAATTTTTGCGTAGCTGTAAATATGATTTGGAACGTACCAAGAAGAAAATCAAAAGGTGGGTAATATTTGTGCCCACAATCAACTGTGGCAACATCAACTTTAATTATCAGGGTATTATGTCTTTGTGCATTTGTTTGTAACAGGCAAAAGGAAACGAGATAGACCCATAGTTCCTTTTGATGATCTGCATAGAATCACATTCTGAGTCGATTTATGCACGTCCGTCTGTCTGTCCATGTATTTTTGTAAACAAAGTACAGTTCGCATTTATTGCCCTATCCAGATGAAATTTTGCACAAATTATTTGTTTGGCCCAAGGACTAACCCTATTGGAGATAATCGGTCAACATTTAGATATAGCTCCCATATATATCTTCGTCCGATTTGCTTTTTATTGTGCACCAAACGTGTAATATCAGCCCGAATAGTATGAAATTTTGCACATATAACCAAATTAAGCCTGAAAATAAGTATTTTTTATTTTATCGAAATCGGTTCAGATATAGCTATAGCTCCCATATATATTGTTCATCCGATTTGTTATTTTTGTCCTCCGCAGCCGTAATATGCACTCTGCAACAACAATATTTGGGGAAGTATATCAAATGCAGCTCACAAATACCTTTGCTAAATTTTATCGTGATCGGTTCAAAATTTGATATAGCTCCCATATATAACTTCGTCCGATTTACCTCTTATTGTGCACCAAAAGTCTAATATTTGTCCAAATTGGATGGACTTACGCACTTACGACCGAATTGAGTCTAGAAGGTAGTATGTCAAATTAGGTGAAGATCGGTTCAGATATAGCTATAGCTCCCATATATATTGTTTATCCGATTTGTTGTTTTTGTTAACCACAGCCGCAATATGCACTCCGTTACAACGATATTCAGGGAAATATATCAAATACAGCTCAGAACTATCAAGATCGGTTCCAAATCGGATATAGCTCCGATATATATCTTTATCCGATTTCAAATTAATTGTGCCCCAAATGGGCAATACAAGTCCGAATTTAAAAGATACAAATGCTTCGGCAAGTCTAGTCGTTTGAACTTCAAATTATAATTATAATAATCATAACGTGTATGATTGAATTCTCCCATAAAAACTTTTAATTGATATGCGGAGCTCTACTAAATTAGCAAAGTGGTGTAGGGTATCATAAAGTTGGCCCCGCCTGACTTTAAGACTTTCTTTACTGGTTTTACTATACTTAAGGAGGAAATGTTTATGATTGGTTCTTATCTGTTCTGTCCCAGAACTGCAAGATTGTACAAATGTTGACTACGGTATCCGATTTTCCCTTTATGATACCGAAATAAATTGCCTAGCTGGTAGATTCTTGCAGGTTCCGGAACAGAGCAATTTTTTATACTCTCCACCATTCTATAGCTTTGTTATTCCGTTTGTAACTTCTCGAAATATTCATAATAGACCCTACAAAGTATATATATTCTGGATCAACGTAAAATTCTAAGACGATCTAGAGATGTCCGTCTGTCTGTCTATTGTAATCACGCTATCTTTCGAACGAATTGAGGCAGAATGTTAAAAATTACCCTACATGTATAGTTTACCAGTAAGTTCGTAAAAGGGCCATATCGTTTTCCACGTTTTCGTATAGCCCATATATAAGTGTACCTCCAGATATTCGGTACTTTCATGATTTTAGCGACATTATTTACCGCAATTATTTCTAAATCCCCATATAACGGTTCCTCCCGATATTCGGTATTTTAATGATTTAAGTAACATTATTCACCGGAATCGTTTCAAATTACGTATTGGAAGATCTTAATGGGTACTATAACCTATTACAAAATATTTCGTATGCAGGTCCACGTCTTCGTACAGCCCCCTTACAACAGTACCTCCGGATATTCGGTATTTTCATGATTTTAGCGGAATTTTTTAAATTTCGTTTTTGAAGTTCGTAATGGGTACTACAACCTATGACAAAAAATTTCGTTCCTCAAGTTCTTTTCAAATGGTGGAGGATATTAAAATTTCGGCCCGGACGAACTTAACTTCTGTTTTACTTGTATGTATATGCATATGGTTTTGATTATTATAATAGAAATGCGACTTTGTAGTAGATTGGCCCAAATATTTCTTTTACACTTCCCTGCGAACCAAACTGTCCGAGTCCAATCCTACTTTAAACCGAAAGTAGGATGAAACTTCCGAAGCGCATTCCGAAGTTTCACGTCAACCACTCCGAAAGTTACATGGATTGGTTGACGTGTTGTCGGACCGTTGGGTCGGAATGTCTGAAGTTTTAGCTGGCTGCCAAACCAAAGTCGGACCGAACTCGCAAGGATAATCATGGAAATAGGAGGTAGGGGATCGATTGAGGACCGAATATCGGATGAAACTTCCGATTTCGAATGCTCATTTGTTACGATTCCTGACCGAAAGTTACATATAGTCGATCCGTTGGGTCGGATGAATGTCTGAAGTTTTAGCTGGCTGCCGAACCAAAGTCGGACTGAACTCGCAAGGATAATCATGGAAACTTCGGAAGGGAAGTAAGAGGTAGCGGATCGATTGAGGACCAAACTTGGAGGTAACATCTTGCGAATTTCTGATTCTTTGCCGACTTTCTAAAAGTTTTTGGAATAGAGGTCAAGGTATTAAGTTCTTGTGCACCCATTTCAACAATTCACATTATCTCAATGACAAAAGCAAGTAGCAACAGTCGATTATTCTTTAGAAATATCTGTTAAATATATATAACTAGCTGGCCCGGTCCGCGTTGCCGGCCCGTAGTTTTAGTCTTTAATGCAAATTTTACATAGCATAATATTTCACAAATCAAGCTCATAAAGATGAACAAATTTCAATATAAATATTGATTCGACTAAATAGAAATAAATAACTACGGAAGGAGGGCAAAATAATTTCTGAATAGTCAAAGTTAATTACGCTTTTACACCCATTACCATAGCACCTCAAATTGCGCATTAGATTCCCCAAAAAGTCTATGTTTTTGTTCATAGTAAAATTCAATGACGATTAAACAATACCCGCGTTGTTGTCCGCCAATCGATAAACATCACTATAGATCGGCGGGCCTGGGGACTATATGGGGACTGTACCAAAATATTATATGTATTGACATTTTTCTGTAAGATGGTTCTCTACTCACAAAGTAGCCTAAATACAGCAAATAATGTCCAAATCAGTTGAAAAACGTGGCCAAGACCAGGGTCACAGCTGAAATCAGGGATACATTTATATAAGGGTTATACCAAAACGTGGCCCAACCAATATTCTCTTGGGGGTTACAAATTCAATAGAAAACAAAATTTTCTTTTCTGACCACCAATTAGATGTGAAAGTGGACTTGGGGATACTCCAATGTGGGGACTTTATTTACTTAAATTCCGAGGTGGTAAATATCTGTATGATGGTTCCCTACATACCATAAATACAATTTTTTGCCAAATTAATTGATGAATGTGGTCAAGACCAAAATGGGCCCTACTCTGAAAATTTCAAACTTTATGCGAAGAGGTTCTCTACCTCCTTAGAAACAAAGATGCCAAATAATGGCCAAAATATTAAAAAAGTGACCAAGACACCAAAAATAGCTTAAATCCTACGATGGTTATATAAATATGAAATCGGGTTGTACCCTTATCCGTGAGTTATGATCGTTATCATGACCTGCAAAAGCGATTTAAGGTATCTTAAATGTTTGGGAAGATTTTCTGGAAGGATAGAAATCCTTTTCTTACTAAGAGTCCCATTGGCTCTATTAATTTCCACCCTTTATATTTGGTATTTTTTTTCTGATTGTACATTGGACGGATTACTGTGACAGGAAAGAAGTAGTTCCACGCTTTGAAATGAGCCCCATTAGGCTTTTTCGGTAATTTTTGTTTGATCAAATGTGTTCGCATCTTCCAGCTGAACCACGATAATGGCCCTGGAGTTGAAAGGTAGATGTCAGTTAACATCGTATTTCCCACTTATTTCATTTTTTGGTGAAAATTTGTATATAGTGAAAAATTATTCTTTATTTTGTTCACAAAAAATTTACTGAATTCAATTAGATAATACAGATTGAAAAAAAATGACAAAAGAAGAATAACACATTGAAAAAATCTTCAACTTGTTCGCTGATTTTTTACAGCAAATATTTAAAGATCCTTATATAGTTTGTCAATAGAAAGTACTTCTATTTTAAAATTCGATTCCATTAAATTATTTCGACATCATCTATTCCGTTTCGCCACCACATAATTCGGTACTACACTTCCATGTAACTCGCCATCAATTTCATTTCTCAAGAAATCAAGTCAATTAAATAAATTGGTATTTATATTTGAATTCAAAAATAAAATATAAAAAACACTACAAATGTACATTAGAAAAAAGAAAGTCAAAATGGAAAAAAATCATGCAAAATAAAACATTACTATTGTATATTTCCAAAGTCAAAATGAAAATGTTAATATATTACATTTTTACGCGATTTTTTTGGATATTTTCCTTTTCGGAGAGGAGACAATTCCGAATTTGTATGAATCGTTAAAATCAGTCCAGCGGTTCTTAAGTTATAAGCGTAGTAACTAACACAACTTTCTTTTATATATATAGAAGATAGATATAGATTAAAAAGTACTGACAACGACAGTTCCTCAGCCCCAAATAAATACTTAGAGGGGGTGGAAAGTCATCAGTATCTCGTGCAATAATTTTCAAACCGATATCTCCTCTATATTGGCAAATATAAGGATTTTAGATAAATCAAAATTGTGGGCGCAAAAGTAGGCGTGGTCTATATTTTTTTCTTTAAAAACCTAACTCGGGGTATGACGAAAGTTTTTACAAAAAATTATGCAAATCGGTCCAGCCGTTTTCAACTGATTCCGTTACCAACAAACAACAATTGATTTTTATATATATAGAAGAAGAAGATAGAAGATAACACAAAATAATATAAACATGGATTAATGTTTATCCAAAAAAGTCATCTAGCATTCCTTTAACAATGTACCTACGATAGAAACATTTCCAAGCAATTATATTAAAATCTTGTACCAATAAAATATAAACATTAACTTTATAAAAACCAACTTTCAATGATCTTTGAACACTAATTGGAGAGCGCATTTTCGTCACTACAACAACTAAGCATTTATTTTTTCACAATGCATGCCCAACTAAAACCTCTCAAAGAGGGAGAAACGAATTCCGTTTCTTTCCTTCAGATAAATTGGCAGAATTCGGACCTACACCGGTTAGACACCTCTAAAAAAACTTCAGACATTGTTTAGACGTATCGGACGTCCGACATTTGGTTCGCTGGGTTGTAACAATTGGTGTAGACTATCTTACATTTTTGTTAACAAATTTCTTAAATTTGGGAAAACATAAAATATGAATGTAATGTTGGCTGCGTTTGTAAAAACCGAAGATTTTCTTGATTTGCGTTAAATAAACTTAAAAAAAAGGTCAGTCTACACAAAAATTAAGTTACTCGTTTTTCGAAACCGACTTAAAATGTTTTGTGAAAACATGTTCATTACATATTTTATTACAATACGTTTATATATATGAAGGTTAATCCACTGGATTTGGATTTAAATTGTCATACCCATTACTTTTACTTCAAATAAATCCTCTCAAAGTAGGTTAACCCTACAAAAAGTTCTAACGTAAACATGGCATTACACATTGATAAATTGATTAAAGTTGACAACTCAAGTTGCTTATCCCAAAACTTTCCTCTAATAAGGATGTTAAATCGTGGAATTTATAAATATGTATATACGTGTAATAACGCGTCTAGATACAACATTTTATCCGAGATTTATTGCTTAATCCGAATTTATTCATCCAAATTTACCATCCAAAAATATATATTATATATATATATATTATATATATATATATATATATATATATATATATATATATATATATATATATATATATATATATATATATATTATATATATATATATATATATATATATATATATATATATATATATATATATATATCGCTTTTTTTAATTATTTATTTCATATATATATATATATATATTATCACGACCGGATTTACATTAAATTCGGATTGGAATCTGGATACTAACCGATTCTTCAGTGGTACTTGGAACAAAACTTTTGGTATTGAAAATGGGCTATGGGGGTCCACGTCTTCATATAGCCCCCATATAACGGTACCTCCGATATTCGGTATTTTGATGATTTTAGCGACATTATTCACCGGAATTGTTTAAAATTCGTAATGGATACTACAGCATATGACAGGAGATTGTCTGTGCAGGTACACACCTTCGTATAGCCCCCATATAACGGTACCATTCGATATTCGGTATTTTGTTGATTTTAGCGATATTATTTATCGGAATTGTTTCAAATTTGGTATTTGAAGTCCGTAATGGATAGTACACCCTAAGATAGAAAATCAGTCGTGAAGGTCCACGTCTTCGTATAGCCCCCATATAACGGTACCCTCCGATATTCAGTATTTTGATGATTTTAGTGTATGTCATCTTTATTTGTTTATGTACATATGTGTTTTCTTTTCAATAACAAAATAATTGTTTAGAAAATTCGGGTGTTTTCAAAATGTTTATTTCATCGTATGCATTGACAAAATCTAGAGTTTTTGTAGCGAAATAACCCTTTAGAGATATATAGAACATGGTTTTGAAAAGAAGTGTTGACCTTTCATTCAGTTATCGCTTTTTTTAATTATTTATTTAAAATAAATGCAACAAGTTGTTTGATTTTTTTATTGTTTTGATACTAATTCTGACATTACAAGCCAAACAGGTAGACCTTTATACTTACAATTTTTTTCAAAGCCTACCTTCCTACCTTGGACTACCTTCTCTTCAATGTACCATGCTACAGCATATGTCAGAAAATTGTCTTTACAGGTTGATACTTGCAGTGCGGCAGTAATATCTCCTGTAGGTATATCAAAACACACAATAATAACCTACTGTATCTAATCTTCAATAATATAAATGCGCTAAGGGAATAGATTAACGTGATTTTCAATGATACTATGATGAACACATGGTAAAATTAGAAAAGTAAAGTCAATAAAAATTCCTATCTCAGCATCTTGTGTAATTTACCTTAAAATCAGAAGACAAGTAACATCATATTATGCCAAATCACGGAATTTTAATTAATTTATTTTGTTTCAAAACTTCAACATTTCAACAACATTTATGATATTAGAACATTAGAAAGCAGCACAATTATTTCTTATAGAAAAGTTGGCCGACAAACCTAATATTGGCCATTTATTGGCATTTGTCATTATTGTATTATCAAAACAAATTCAACGGTGCAGGTGTCCGTTTGTTAGTAGAAATCACTGTATATAGTATACGAAAAACCATGACTGAAATTTGATAAGTCCCAAAGACAAATTTTGGGGGAGAGGGACGAAGATAATGTGGTATTTATCTCACCCGACTCCCTTCTTTCCACGTCACTTTTCCTTTCCCTAAACTTTCCCCGTCTGGTTCCCTGACTAAACAATTCAGTACTCCTGTTCTTGATTAAAATACAAAATTGCAAACATGTTCTCGGTTATGATGTTTGTATTCAAATGGTACAACTAAAAGGGTAACCATATTTTAAATAGGCATATCCAGCTCTAATTTTTTATTTGTAACTTACGTTGTTTTTGTTTAATCTTATTCAGATTACGATCGATTTGGTGAATTACGAAATCTCGAATCGGAATGGTTTGAATTCCGTAATTCGAAATCGATCGTTTTTGTTTTGGCTTCTTCAGATTCCGTACGATTTGGTGAACTACGAAAATCTCATTACTCAGTGTAAATATGGCAACATTAGAAGAATGAAAAAGCGATTGAATGAGGAAACAAAACAAACCACATTATTAGAAAATACTTTAGTAGTGGAAATTGTAAAAAATATTCTATTTTAAAGAGATTTTTGTGCGAAAAAAATAATTTTGTTAATTTTGCCGGGGGTTTCGATAGAAAAAATACGTCAAAAGAAATTCAGAGATGCTTCGGACTTCTTGTCCTACCCCAGTGCATTGTGAACATTTTAGTATCAAGTTTAGTTTTAACTTATGATGATTAAAACTTGAACTAGCATTTCAAAATACATTTTTACACCAATTCCTGTTTTGAGTTTTTTGTTTTGTTTTTTTACCATTGCTTCAATTTATCATTCCTAAGGCCAGATAGTTTAGTTTTCACAAATTAATAACTATTACTAGGAGAAAAAACTGGTTATCAAGAAAAAATAATTTGGCAATACTTTGTTGCTCATTATTTTAAATAAAAATGTAAATAAAATTCTGAAGTTGTTATTAAAAAAAAATTTAATTACTTAAAAGTGTTTTGAGAGCGTTTAAAAGATACAAGTTTCCATAAAAGTGCAATTCACACCATAAGACTCCCGTACAGAGTTGCATTTTTCTAGTTTCTTTGAAGTTGAGCAACCTTACATGTTGAGTCATGCCTGATACAATGGAATTATTATGCATGTCACAAAACAAATTCCGAACAAAAGTGGTTTTAATTCCGTATATGTCTTCTTCAAAAAACGATTTCTTTTCGGTTTCAAACCATTTTGCAAGTGAAATTGTATTTTTATGGGAGCTTGTAACTTTAAAACACTTTCAAGTAATTAAAATGATGCACAATTAAATTTAAATTTTGTTTTATCTTTTTTAGGACAAGCACATGAAATTATCCATAAGTTAAAATTAAACTTGAAGAAGAATTCAGGTAGATGCATCAACTCTTGGGAACATTGATATGTCAAATTTTTTTAAATATTTTGTCAAAAATAAGTAGATTTTTATATTTTTTCTTATACGACGCAAATTGGAGGTTGCTATAATATGCATTTTTCAACAAATTTCACAAGTTTCAATAATTTTTCATTCACCATTTTCAATTCCAAAATTGGTTTGACAGTTCATTGTCCCAGCAGCTGTGTCGACCAACCATCCCTGAAATTCCCCCGGCGTATTTTTTTAGTATTGTGTTCATTACTTTGCGCCTCAATTACAGAAACTACCGAGACTCCCTGTGGCACTGTGTAAAAATTAACAAATTTAACTTTATTTTCGCACTAAAAACTCTTAAAGAGAATATTTTTCACAATTTTTTCTTTTCTCATTCATTTAATGTTGCCATATTTATACTGAATAATGAGATTTTCGTACTTTACCAAATCGATCGGAATCTGAAGAATCTAAAACAAAAACGACCGATTTTTAATTACGGAATTCAAACCACTCCGATTCGATTTTGTGACTTGCCTGTATATTAACAAATCAGAGATGGAAACTGTATTAAGTTTAATTTGACAAATGCTCTGTTCCGGGACAAAAAAAAAATCCCGGTTGGACATTGTTATTTGAAATGCATTTTCTGTAATTTACCTTGTCAAATTTCACTGCATAGAAATGAGTTTGCCATCTCTGATTTGGGCATATACAATGGATTTATGACAATGAAATATTGTCAAATGAATAATTTTGAAAAAAATTCTAAGAATATGATTGCATGACTTAACTTCTTAACTTGTTAATAATCATTGGCTTTTTTATTTTATTTACAGCTTCTATCAAATACGTGCAGAACGTTCGGAGTGGTTTTCTAATCGAGATCCAACATTAAAAGAAATACAAGAATTACTCAATTTAGGTGTATTTCTACCCATAGATGGCCTTGACGAACAACAACGAAAAGTTGTTATAATTCGCACTGCTGTTCACGATCCCAAAGAACACTCGCAGAATGATGTATTCAAAGTAATGAAAATGGTTTTGGATTTATTAATAAAATTTGAACCCGAAAATTGTCAAAACGGCATCGTCGCCATCTTCGATATGGAAGGAGTGCAGTTGGGTCATGCCATGGCCTTAAATCCGAAACTAATAAAACGAACCGTTGACAGTTGGCAAACTTATCCATATCAACCGAAACTAATGGAATTTGTTAATACCCCGTTACATGTGAATTTGGTTTTGAACACTTTTCGAATTTTTATGACACCGAAAATGCGTTCACGTGTCGTAGTGCAAAAACGTAAATGCTCGGTGAAATGTGAAAATCTACCGTGCAATTTGGGTGGTAAAGGTCCATCGTATCAGGAGTTGACACAACGTTGGAAAAGATTGGTAGAAGAAAATGCCAATTTCTATACAGAAGATGATAAATATAAGAGTGTGGTTGATGGTAAAAACTGATGAAATGTTTTTAAAAGAGATTGAAACCAGTACCTGCGTTTTCAAACGATACAATACATAAAATGTACAATTTTATTTAAAAATAATGTACAAATTAAACCAAGCAACTTGAGGATTCCGTTGATTTAATATGTGTGCAATAATTATAATGTGTAATTAACTTTATTTGTTATAATTACAATGTGGACCAAAAAGCTGTAACATATATAAGTATGTAAATACTAGGTAAGACCAATAACTCTATAGTGTCTTACAATTTGTGCGTTTTTACTGGATGTATGATTTAAATGAGGAACGCATGTTTTTAGATGCGTATCTATGGTAGAATAAATATGTAATTTCAAATAAGCATCCATCGCTGCATTTCCGTAGCGTATCCTATCAAATTACACTGCGTAAAAAGCAGGTTCCCATCTCTAATTTGTAAATATACAATGGATTTGTAAATAAATACTTTGACAATGAATATTGTCAAATGAATTATTTGCATTTAAACATATGATTGCATGACTTAATCTTCTTATTCCAACCGTGTGCGTATCCATGGGACAATGAAATAAAGGTAACCTCATTTCATATTAGCAGTCCCAGCTCTGCATTTTCTGTAATTTACCTTGTCATATTTCAATGCATCTCTGATTTTGTGTGTATACAATAGATTTATGAATATAGATTTTGCCAATGATATGTTGTCAAATGTTTAAATTTGAAAAAATTGTAAATATATGGTTACATAACTTTACCTTCTTAGTTCTACCTTGTACGTACCTATTCTTGTAATTTCAATTGGTTATATGTAAAATTAACTTAATGCCAACCAATTTAAAGATAGAAAAATCATTTCGAAGAAATTATTAACGTAATATCAATCCAACGGAAGCACGTTGTGTGTGAAGTCAAACCCTTTACTTGAAGACATTATTAATAAAGGGATAACTCAGCCCAAGAGTTCGAACAAATACCTCAGAAAACTTAAGCAAACATCAACACATTTTTATCAGACTAAGAGCAACTTCATTTGGTCCACATAATATAAAACATTGCACATTTATCTTATAGCACTCAGTTCAATTATAAAAGAAACATAAGTACGTATGTAAGTTTGTAGATCATTGTAAAAACAAACTGCATTTATTGCACTATATCTCCAAATAAACATATACCATGACACTTTAAAATGTGTCAATGCATACAAATGTATTCAGAAAACAAATAATATGTACATCATTTTAGATTTATAAAAACGAATTAAGTGTAATTAGATTAGCGAACCTTATCACTCGACTCGAGTACATAAACAAAAACAATAAAAATGTTATTGAATTTCACAAAAAAAAAACGTTTTTTATTTCTATTATTTGGACAAAAACATTACAGTTGTGTGCATTGGTTAGTCGATCAATTTGCAATTACAACACACAATTTTCCCTTTAATCAATTATTCACCTTTTTTATATCCTCCACCATACTATGGAGGGTATATTTATGTTGTCATTCCGTTTGTAACTCATCAAAATAATGATATATATATATATATATATATATATATATATATATATATATATATATATATAGAAAGGCTAAAATTTTGCAGACATGTTTATTTCGCCAGTAGGCAGGTAACGTTCGTAAATGGGCCATGTAGGTCCACGTTTTCATATAGCGGTACCTCCCGATATTCGGTATTTTGATGATTGTAGCGACATTATTCACCGGAATTGTTTCAAATTTAGCATTTGAAGTTCGAAATGGATACTACAGCCTGAGACAGAAAATTGTCTGTGCAAGTCCACGCCTTCGTATAGCCCCCATATAAGGTACCTTCCTATATTCGGTATTTTGATGATTTTAGCGACATTATTCACCGGAATTGCTTCAAATTTGATGTTTGAAGTTCGAAATGGATACTACAGCCTAAGGCAGAACATTGTCTATGCAGGTCCACGTCTTCGTATAGCCCCCATATAACGGTACCTCCTAATATTCGGTATTTTGATGATTTTAGCGTCATTATTCACCGTAGTCGTTTTTAGTCGTATTTAGAGTTCGTAATGGAAACTACAGCCTGTGACAGAAAATTGCCTATGCAGGTCCAGGTCTTCGTATAGGCCCCATATATCAGTACTTCCTTATATTCGGTATTTTGACGATTTAGGTACAATACTCACAGAAATTGTTTGAGATGTCGTATTTGAAGTTCGCAATGGAAGCTACAGCCTGTGAAAATTATTTATGCAGGTCCAGGTATTCGTATAGCTCCTACATATCGGTACCTCCCTATGTACGGTATTTTGATTATGGCTACATTATTCACCGTTTATTTCAAATCTCGAATTTGAATATGGTAATGGCTTGTGACAAACAATGCCTATATAGGTGCACGTCGTACAGGGCCTAATATAACGGCTATATTTGGTATTTTTAAAATGTTAACAGAATTTTTGGCGAATGTTATCTTTTTCGAAAATTGTCAAATTCGTTCTAAATGGTGGAGGGTATTCAAAGTTCGGCCCGGCCGAACTTAATGCTTTTTTACTTGTTATAACGTGCACCATTCTATGGAGAGTATATTAGCTTTGTCATTTTGTTTGTAACTCTTCAAAATATTCATAATAGACCCTACAAAGTATATATATTTTGGATCAGCGTAAAATTCTAAGACGATCTAGCGATGTCTGTCTTTCTGTCTGTCTGTTGTAATCACGCTTTCTTTTTTGATCGAATTGAGATAGAAGGCTTAAATTTTACATACATGCATAGTTTACCAGTTGGCAGGTTAAGTTCCTAAATGGTCCATGTCGGTCCACGTTTTCGTATATCCCCCATATAACGGTACCTCCCGATATTCGCTATTTTCATGATTTTAGCGGCAAATTTCGTATTTGAAGTTCGTAATGGGTACTACAGCCTAAGAGAGAAATTTGTCTGTGCTGGTCCACGTCTTCGTATAGTCCCCATAACACGGTACCTAACGATAGTCGGAATTTTGATAAGTTCAGCAACATTATTTACCGGAATCGTTTCAAATTGATACCTCCCGATATTCGCTATACCAAAAGTCCTGCAAACCAAAGACACATCTGAGTAAAGGTTAATAAAAACCTACTTCAATTCGTTCGGCAGCTGAAGTGATGGCCACAGACGGAAAGACGGCGGTGAGCCATAGTTTGCAAAAACGTATTAAGTCACGTATAAATCAAACAAAAGGTAAATACTTTTATATCTTAGTATTGAATTTATTTGTATTGATATCAAAATGGTTATTACAAAAAATCTGTTTTTAATTGTTTGTAAATATAATATATTTTTATTTAGAACTTAGTTCTATTTACAATATTTTTGAATAAAATTCAATTTACGATTATAACTGTTGTTCTCACATGCATATATGTACTGACTTATAGATAGATATCTTACCGATGAATATTTCATTTTATTCCACTCCTTACTTGAAATAAATGCGTCTTTGAAATATACCGGTTTAAAGAACAGCGAGTACTCGTATATTAAATGTACAATATAAATTGCTTCTTGCAGTTATTATAATGTATTTGCATATTATTTTGTATATACCTATATTTTATAAATCAAGTCTTATAATTATTGGACTCCGATCAATTTCGTAATAAAACATTAGTTATTATATATTCTTGGCTTTTTACATTATTGGTTCGGGGTGGTTGTTAAATTTTATCGGTTGTAAGGTAGAAGATTAATAATATTGCTAACCATCGAGTTTGTCTTTTATGATTTTTATGTTACTTTATATACTTAACTGCATTTTAATTGTATCAATAAATTTAAAAAAAAATATATTATTTTTTTATTACTGAAACATTCAGATAAAAAATAAGCAGGGCGACCGGTTAAGAATATAATACTTTTCATAATACATATGACATTTAAGGACATACCGCTTTTGAAGAAACTTAATTGTTTTCTAATAAAAGTTATAAATGGAATTAATAATCAATGAAACTGAAAATTCAAATGTAAAAATAATGCTTCAATTGTCAATTTGACACAATAAGTCCGTAGTGCACTGTTGTAAGTTTTCCCTCTATCTGTGAAATTAAACTATACACTACGTCGAATTTTTGGTAACGCTGATCATCAATTACATGCCAAAACGGAAAAATATTCCTAGTGTGGACACACTCTGAAAAATGGAACCAGCTGGTAGCTTTACCTAACATTTTTATTGTACCATACTGCAGTACTTGTAGGTGGGAATATTTTTGTACGATTACGTACCCCATTTTATCCGGGTTAACCGCGATAATTGACCAATCACAATACAGTTGATTATTGAAAACATACGTTAAATTTATTGTTATGATAACACTCGCAATCCGCTGGAGGCGCATTGATTATTAAGGTCATTGTCCCCATAAAGAGGCATTCAACGAGTGGGTAAATGTAGATAATGACATGTGTTTGTAGAACATATGAGGTAGAACAGCTTTGTAAAACTACAAAAATACAACCATGAGGCTATGTCCGCTTCCTGTCAGAATATTCAAAACTAGAGGCAACAAGTTGTTTTCATTTATTTAGTATTTTTTGTTCATTTCTAAAACGAGTCAAATAGCGCGAAAGATGAATGTCGTACTCTCAAAAATATAATCCTAAGTGCTCAATCTTTCAATTCCATGGCAAATCTGGTTAATATTAATGATGCGAGCACCGCAATTTAAGTTTCAACCAATCATTGATTTTGAAAATGTTTTGTTTTTATTTTTAAAAACAACAAATACATACACAAAATTGGCAGAAGTCGGGCACACTTAGAAAAAATTGTAATCAGCTGGGAACTCTACTTTGCTTTTTTATTGTACCATGCTTCCTGCGATTTATATACCAAATACATAGGCCGTTTATTACATCTTTCCGATAGATAAAAATGATGTGGGACAAATAATTATAAAATTCATTTAAATATGAAAGATCGAATAAAATTCCTTTTGACTTTTAACATAAAGTTTACATAATTCAGGTTGCCATATTTTATATTGATAATATGGCAATATCAGCAAAAATTATTCAAGTAAAAAGTGGATAACGCAGTCGTTTATTTTATATTTAAAAACTGTTTTGTTTATTTTTATACCCTCCACCATACTTTGGAGGGTATATAACTTTGTCATTCCGTTTGTAACACCTACAAATACTCATGACAGACCCAACAAAGTATATATATTCCTGATCAGCGTAAAATTCTAAGTCGATTTAGCCCTGTCTGTCTGTTGTAATCACGCTATCTTTCGAACGAATTGAGATCGATAGCTAAAATTTTCCGCACGTGTTTATTTTTCCAAACAAAAAATTGTCTGTGTGGGTCCACGTCTTCGTACAGCCCCCATGTAACGGTACCTCCCTATATTCGGTATTTTGATGATTTTAGCGACATTATTCAACGGAATCGTTTCAAATTTGGTATTTGAAGTTCGTAATGGATACTACAACCTATGACAAAAAATTGTCTGTGCATGTCCAGGTCTTCGTATAGGCCCCCATATTCGGTAATTTTGACGATTTTATGTACATGTTAAAAGTTTCTTGTCCTGCATTTATTTTTCAATGCAATAACTACAAGTCGGCGCCCTCATAAAAAATTTAATCTGTCGATAGCCTTGCAATATTTTTTTATTTACCATAAAGGAATCTACATTTTTACCAGTTTTGTAACTAAAAATTTAAATGTTTAAATCAAACGGAAGTTGAATAAAGTCATTATCATGGCCCAATTATCAGGTCGACCTAAGGCGAATTTCCCAAAAATACAACTCTTCAACTACACATATTTTCAAAATGTGTTATTGGGGGCAAAAAAAATATATTCGCCTGAACATGGCCCAATTATAAGGTCGACCAGAAGGCGAATTCCCCAAAAATACTACTCTTCAACTACATATATATTCAAAATATGTTATTGGGGCAAAATATATATATTGTCCCCGAACATAAAAATAATTCAGCGAGTTCGTGTTTTGTCAATTTGACAATAAGAATATTGTGTGAAATGTAAAAAAGAGGAATAAGCCAAAATTTTATAATTGTTTCCTATGGAATCTTGCACCTCACATGAAGTTCGAACTTCCGCAAGCATCATTTTTATCCCAATGTTTTGAAAGCAGTTGATGAAAATATTGGCATCCTTATGCCCTTGAGATTCTGAGACAGTGTGATTGTAAAGATTACAAACCTGTCTCTAGTTGCGCACGCGGCCTTCATTTGCGAATTTAAAGCACTCGTATATTGATTTCAAGAATGGCAAAGCGACATAATAAAGCATAAAGTTTTGTAAAAATTATGCCTGAATTGCATTAAAAGTTTCTGGTCCTGCATTTATTTTTCAATGCAATAACTACAAGTCGGCGCCCTCATAAAAAATTTAATCTGTCGATAGCCTTGCAATATTTTTTATTTACCATAAAGGAATCTACATTTTTACCAGTTTTGTAACTAAAAATTTAAATGTTTAAATCAAACGGAACCCTCCATGGTTCCAAGTTGAATAAAGTCATTATGTTATTGGCTCTATTCGTTTTGAAAAGTCATTCTATATTTGAAATTCTAATTTTAATTCTAAGACTAATTTCATTAAAAAATAAGGCTGATAATAAGTAAGAGTCATTGAACGATTATCAGAAATATTTGTATCAGAGAATTCATTAAGTCTAAAAATCTTAACATTCCGTTTGTTATAAAATTCAAAATTATTGTTGTAGGCCTTAAATACATTAAAATAAAACTTTAAAGTTATTTGAAATTCATGTTGTTGCATGAGTTTTTTTTAGTTTATTAATGCGTTTGAAAACGGAAAAAATATCTGATAATAATAATGAAAAACGGTCATAGCCTTGCGATTATAGTTTCACAATTTTTCAAATCTTAATAACTTGAATTAGCACCTGTCAATAGTTGCAATCTGTCTCCACGTGAATATAATTCGTTTATAGTTAGGGAGCATGCAAACTAATAATCCATCGAACCACATTATCATGCTTATCGCAACGTAATAACGACAATGGGATTAAATAGATTAGATTTAGGGTTGTTAAATAATCAATGTACTAAACCAAACCACATCAAATGGCATTAGTGGTTTTCGAAACATTGTCTCCTTTTAGTGGAAAGTCTTGTTGTGCATATCAACAATCAATAGAACAAAACAAGGCGTTTTGCAAATGTTTACATAGTTTTTCTAAATCAACGTTGTTGGTCAATGTTCTTTGGTCTATTTTCTTCCCTTCGCTGTAAACCGCTGTAAATGAAAAGGCAATTGCATTCGATTATGCAATTTTAATCCTATAGCACCTACTTATCATTTGATTAAATCACAATCGGAAAGCCATACTTTTTGCTTTCAGCTTTATTTTTTGTCTAGGGATTGCAGCTGGAGAATGCGTTGAGAGAGAAAGAATTGTTTTACGGAATAAAAATAATCAAAAAGCTAGTTGCCCATGATACAGTAATATACGGTAGAGTGGGTCGTAGATCGGAAACCGTACTTTGTGCTTCCAGCTTTATTTTATTTATTTATTTATTATTATTATTATTTTGTAGGGATCGCAACTGGAGAAAGCTTTGAGAAAGAAAGAATTATTTTACGAAATAAAAATATAAAGTGGAGTAGGTCGACTAAATTTGAAAAAAAGTCATGACTGATGCTAGATTCTTGTTAATATAAAATTTCTCACAGTAAAGGCAACAACTTTTTTATTGTCTATTTAACACTTGTTCTCAATTTTTTAATGTAAAATCGAGTTTCCATCTTAAAACTTAGATTTGTATACACCATAAAACCGCGTTTATGTGCAAAATTTTATCCGGATTGACTCACATTATCAGGATTTATTGCTTAATACGGATTTATTAAACCAGATTTACCATACAAAAAATAGATCTCACGCCAAGGCATTTTTTACATTTTACATTGGAACAATAACAAACAAGTAAAAAACATTAAGTTCGGCCGAAACCTTTTTACATAAAATATCTGAATTCAAGCGTGTTTTACTTAAAACTTCATACTCCAGTAATACCTTTTGCATAAAGCCGTTTTATGGGGGCTATACCAAAACGTGGACCTATACATACAATGTTTCGCCACACGAGCTAAAATCCATTGTACCTTACAATTATCAATTTTTAGACAAATCCATGTAAAAATGTTGCAAAAATCATCGAAATACGGTATATCGGGAGGTACCGTTATAAGGTGGCTATACCAAAACGTGAACCTATACATACAATGTTTTGCCACACGAGGTAGAACCCATTATGACCTACAAATACCAATTTTTAGACAAATCCGTGGAAAAATGTGGCAAAAATAAAAAATTATCGAATATCGAAAGGTACCGTTTTATGGGGGCTAGGCCAAAACGTGGAGCGACATATCTTATTTTCAATACCAACCATCCTAGATACAATACAAATTGTTCTGCTAAACGTTGTGACGCTCTACGTGAAATAGTGTGGGGTGTATCGTAATTTCAACAGACAGACATAGTTAAATCGACTTAGAATTTTATGCTGATTAAGAATATATATCGTCTACGATGAATATTTAGGGATGTTACAAACGGAATGACAAAGTTAATATACCCTCCTTTTCAAGGTGGAGGGTATACAAATAATTAACATTTTATTTGTCACCAATTGAATTACCGGTTTGAATAAACTCTTATTTTCCAACATCAATTGTCTCCATATTAGCGTTTTTGATACATAATTTTCTGTGGACTAATCATCAATAATATAAATGCGCTGTTACCCACCTTTTTGTGGACTGACGTCCCTATATTTTATATTGTTAAAATGAAAAACAGAATAAACAGAATAAAAAACAAAACAGAAATAAAAACATGGAATTAATCAGGGCAATTGATTGTCATTACTAATTATTCCTTGTTGTTAAATTTCGTACGAGAATACTAGTGGCAATGAGCTTGTGATGCAATTCATTTCACACGCTATTAGGTGTGTACGGCTACTTTCCCAGTAAAAAATACATAGGAACTTGCATGGTACAATAAAACCAAGATAAGGCTATGCTACCATATAATTGTAATTTTTTTTCTTGACTTAATATGTCCACTTTAATTGTTTATGTGTGTGTATACTTTTCAATAATAAAAAAATTGTTTAGAAAATATTCAAATTTGGTTGTTTTCAAAATGCTTATTGCAACGTATGCATCGACAAAATCTACAGTAATTGATATGTGGGCCATATAGAACATGATTTTGAAAAGATATTTGGACCTATCATTCAGTTTTCGCGATTTTCAATTATTTATTTAAAATTGATGCAACAAGTTGTTTAATTTTCTTTTTGTTTTGATAGTAAATCTGACATTACAAGCCAAACAGGTAGAACTCTATACTTGCAATTTTTCAATGTTAGCCTACCTTGTTTTGATTGTACCATGGGAACTTGTACTTAGAATTTTATCTCTTATGTACAAATACTGCAAAGAGTTCAGTAAAATCCCTCTACAATCCAGCTTTTTGCGATATATGTTCGCTAATGTATTCGAGGAAATATACGTGCACCAATTGCTCTAAGCAATTATTAATATTAATGAAAAGAATTTCTAAGAATTTAATGAAAAGAATTCGACTTCTGCCAATTTTGTGAATGTATTCATTGATTTGAAAAATAAAAAAAAATATATTTTTAAAATTAATGATTGGAAGAAACGTTCAATGCGGGGGCGTATTAAGTATATTTACCCTTTTTTTGCCTTGGAATTGAAAGATTCGACAGCTTGAATATTTTTGAAAGAGAGAGAGAGAGAGGAAAAATGTCTAATAAATTAAAAGAACTTGTTGCATATAACATTGAATAATTCGACAGGAAGCGGGTATTTCTATAGTTTTACAAAGCTGTTCTACCTCCTTATTGCACAATGACTGCAAGAATCCAAAAAAAAAAAATACTACCAAAACCAATTTTTCCTTTATGTTTTCAAAAATAACAAAATTGCACAGTTGGGACAGAGTATATACTTTCCTTTTGAATTCTTCCACAAAATTATTTCAACAAAGGATGAAAATACTGTTGTACGCCATGTTGTAAAATGCATTCCACAATAACTTCGAAAAATCTATAAGTCTTTCATGTATACAAGTTATTCCTGTACAAATCTTTGTATAGAAGACCTACCGAAAGTCCTCCATTTATATTTCCCAAGTATAGAAGGAATCGTGAAGGTCTGCATTGTTTTGAAGGCCGCCTATATGAATTTTATGTATACTATATCTTCTTAAAATATATATGAGATGGGGCATTTCATTGTTGCTTTGATTCAGTAGATAACGTTAGTGGTAGAAAAATATGTTTTGTCACCATATCGCGACATAATTATGTTATATTTTAACAGAGCTGACACTTTTACACGGTTTTCTCTGATTTTAGTCGGTTCAATGTAAAAGGAAATAGATTGTTGAGACAATGTCTATCATATCTGACGTTCATTTCCGGTTTTCCGCCATTTTCGGCGATATTTCTGTAATTTTTCCAATGCATTCTTTGCATGTCGTCGGTCCTCTTTTGTCGGGTGGAGACATAAATAGGCCATATACACTTTGTCCAATCTTTACAGTTTTTTTGTCTTTGTATCTTCTTTTTTTAGTTTTCTACGCATAAAATGCAACATGAGCTCTTCTATGAATCAAAAACCCTTCGAGGGATTTGAAAAATGCACAGATATGTAGATTTTCGGATTTTAGTCAGTATTTTGAATGGCATTTTTCCATAGCTTACTTTCTTGTGAGTGTAAGATATTTACTCATAATATTATGAATGAAGAAAGATAAACATTTAAATCAAATTAAAAAAGGAAAACAAAACAAAAATATATAACTAAATAATTAAAACTAATAGTTTATTCAGTGTACTTTAAGTATTATTTAAAAAAAAACAAGGCATAATACAAATAATTTGTCCAATGATAGTATTGAGTAGTTATTGACTTAGGAATATTTTGTGTGTATGATTGAAATAATGAAGAAATTTAAAAAAATTGTATTACGTTTCCAGTGAAAATCAATTTGATTGGTCTTAAAATTTCGTGTTCTGTACAAAAGAAATATGGGATACTGGTTTGTGTGTTTCGTCGGTGGCATCCTTTTTCTGTATATTAAAAATAGTATACAAATACTTAAACATAATCATTTGTTGAGCAAATTATAATACGAAACTATTTATGAGAACAAAAAATTTATATATAAAAGAATACATAAATTAAGAGATAGAGAGAAGCAGGTTTTGTGTATTATATTTTTTCAAACTCAAAACTCCATACCATGGGATGTTGCAGATCCCAACTGCAATGAATCCTATATCTGCCGTTCATCTTTGGCTGTCAGCTTATCGATGAGTTCTTGAAGAGGTGCTAATTCTCGGCGGTCAATTAAATTGAATTCTTGTACAAAGAATATAAAATGTTTAAATGATGTATTCAAATGCGCCTCTTCTCCCAGGGTTACCACTTCCGAGAAATGTTGATGATAAATGTGGGCATAGACACGGAATAGTCGTTTCAATATGGTTTTTGCATTGCTTAGGAAATTCTTTGGAAACGGTATACCAATTTTGGAGGGAAATAATGTTTCATCGTCCAATTGATCCTGCACCCATGTCATGAGATAGTCAATATATTTGGGGGCACTACACTTTATGGGCTTTTTAACAGTATAGCCATCGGCCCAATGATATTCATATTTTGGACCAGCTGACATAATGCCACAACTTTCTTCAGTGCAAAATTCTGTTATCGTGCCGTATAACATATTGATTTGATTGAAGAAATCCACAGCTGTAAAGAAGAGAACATTGAAATTAACTTCACATAGCACATTAATTTCAAGTAAAATACTCACTATTTACCGCCACCCATTCATTTAAATCTTCCCCATCTGGCAGGGCTACAGCATTCCGTAAATTGCCTGAACCCAGTGTGGCTGCTGCATGTTTCATGAGATCATATTGATGTGTACCTTCTGGTATATTCTTTTTGGGTTTGAATGTTTTACTTGATCTGGAACCGCTGTAACCAGAAAATATATTTACATTAGCGATTGATTTAAATCATGGTGAGCGTATAGAGAAATGTTCAAATATAAATTTTAAATATTTGGGGCCTAGGTTTAATAAAACTTATTATTAATAACAAACCCTTAATATTCTTATTACATTTCCAGACGTCAATTTAAGTTTGCCCGATTATTTCAAATACATATTTAATCAAAACTACCCCAACATACCAAAATGGCTTGAGAATAATATTTCAATAAGCTTATGAACATAAGCCTTAAGCTTGAGAAAATCTTGAGAAAACATTGAAAAATGTTTGTATAACAAGTATAGAATAATCGAAACGGAACCCTTATTTATAAGCTTATACTTGAAATTGTAGAATAAGCTTACAAAAATAATATTATAATAAGCTTATTTTTGTAATAGTATAAAATATTATTTTTTTTTTAGTTTTTAATCATTTTTAACGTTTTTTCTTGATGGACATCCCAGTAGTCACTGCCGCATGTGGCCTTGATACCCTGACGCTTTCTTCTCCCTTATTTGAACTTCTGCATCTCTTCCACTAAGACTACACATTTATTGAATTCCTGCAACTTTTTTGATGCTTCCAATCTGAAATGGGATTGGAATAATTTATGTGAAAGATTCCCGGATTTATTATTCATCCATACCTTAAGGGTTCGGTCCACAAATGGGTCCTAAATTCGCGTGATTTTGTTTTTTGCCAAAGAAAATAATTTCTTGCTGACAATTTTCACAAAAAATCAAAACTAATTTGTCAACAAGGGACAGACTTGAGAAATGTTTGTGGAACATAAGTGTTTCTCAAGCATTGTTGAAAAATTATATTTTTATAATATTGTTCTCAAGCTGTATTGTATTTTTGGTATGTTGGGACCCCAACATACCAAAAATACAATACAGCTTGAGAATAATATTATGAAAATAGTTTATCATAAGAATTTTTCAACAATGCTTGAGAAACACTTTTTTGCACAAACTTTTCTCAAATCTGTCCTTTGTTGACAAATTTGTTTTGATTTTTTTTTGTGAAAATTGTCAACAAAAAATTATTTTCTTTGGTTAAAATCAAAATCACGCGAATTTAGGACCCATTTCCGGACGAAACTCTAAGGTAATGATGAATAATAAATCTGGGAATCTGTAGTATAAATTATTTCAATCTCATTTCAGAATGGAGGCGTCAAAAAGTTGCAGGAATTCAACAGAAGTGAAGAATAAGTGGAGGAGATACAGAAGCTCAAATAAGGGGAAAGAAAGCATCTAGGTATCAAGGCAACATGATGCAGTGACAGCTGGGATGGCAATTAATGAATGAAATGTGTAAAATAATTAAAAAATGAATAAATAAATATTTTTTACCATTGAAAAAATAAGCTTTATAAAATATTACTTTCGTAAGCTTATTCTGCAATTACAAGAATAAGCTTATGAATAAGGGTTCCTTTTCGATTATTCTATAATTGTTAAACAAACATTTCTCAATACATTCTCAAGATTTTCTCAAGCTTTAGGCTTATGTTTGTAAGCTTATTAAAATATTATTCTCAAGTCAATTTGGTATGTTCGTATATATGAAAATGTATGAATTCAATATGACTACATACTACAAAGACCACAATCATCAGAAACATGTTCTAATAATAAAATTTTGTAATAATGACTAACATTTTATTGAGTTATGCCTTGTTTTTATTTATTCCATGATATTGTTAATGAACACATTATTATATTAAAAATAAAAATCTGATATTGTCTCACTATAACAGAGAAATGACCTGTTGGTCGTCTAAGAAGGTATCTTCTCATGCAGGAACCCAAGATAATTACATTGGGATAAATTTAAAGAATATGTTATCTAGAGACTAGGTCATATGCGTGACATGCCCTAGAGCACGGCCTTAGAGATAGACAACTCTGTAAATTTCATAACATCCACTAATAACATAATCTGGCAACGCTATGCCTGAGTAGTCGTGTTTATTTCACTGCAGCTGATCAATCGCTAAATTTTTTGGATTCTATTTATAATTGCCGCCATACCTTACTGTTTGCAGCTCAATTTTAAAATTTACTTCGAGGTTGTGAAGAATTGCAAGGAACTCAGTTGGATTTCCCAATAATTCGAGCTAAACATTGTCCTATCAAGGTGGATTATTGCTGAATCATCACTGTTTGCTTCTTATTGGTTTTATAACTGTTGTCGCTGTTTTTTATTCTGCTTTGCGTGCTGTTCCTTTGCTGTGGTTGTTGTTGTTTGGATTGCCTGATTATTTCAAAGATGTCGAAGTCAGAAAAGTGTGGTATTTGTTGCGATTCTATTACCAAGACTCAAGGAAGCATTATGTGTCGCCTGTGCTCCAACTGGCTACATTCTCATTGTGCCAACGTTGGTACTAAGGAATTGGCTGCATTGCGAGCAATAAAATTCAACAATTATATTTGTTCCAAATGTGACGCAAATCTTCAATCCAACAGCAGTAGCGGAATAGCTGACGAGATCCGCAGTCTTAATACCAAGTTTGATGGCTTCATTTCGAACAATCAAGCAGAACAAAACTCAATTAAATCAGCATTGAACGATATAAAGACGGAAATGTGTTCATGCTTTTCAGAACTTAAAACTGAAATTAGTAACTGCAACGAGAAAATCAAAACTGTGGAAGCTACTACTTCTTCAAAAATGTCTGAGATGGAGGCAGAGCTTAATAAACTGCACTGCAGGCTAAATCGGGCGGACATTCTAGTTGGTGGACTGCCATCTGGCTTACCAGATTTGATGGCACCAATTCTGGCGCTGGGCAAGTTTTTTAATTTGTCTCTATCTAGTGCAGATATTAATCAAGTTTCATACATAAGGAAGAAGACGCAAATATTGATTAAATTTAATAACGTGTCTCTTCGTGACTCTATAATGAGGGAGTATTTCAAAACAAGAAACATTAAAGCCAGTGACCTATTGGTTGGAGCCGGTAATGACTTGTCAAACCGAGTATACTTGAATGAGCATTTCTCGCCAGGCGCTGCGCATCTGAATTCTTTATGTAGAAAACTGCGAAGGCTCAATATTATTGTCAAGTATAGAATTCTTAACTCGAATACACTAATGGCTAAATTAAATTTTTCAAATGGAACTGATATTGTTGCTGACCTCGAAAAATGCAACATGCTATTGAAGGACGCTGAGTTATCACCATCTTAAATCTACAAATTTCCTTTTTTTGGTATTGTAATTATAAAATTTAAATTTATATTAGGATCAGCTGTTTGAAGTTATAAAATAGAGATATAGAGTATGTTTTTATATTATAAATTTATTTTATCATACATTTTTTCTTGGTTCCCCTCCTCTAATTATTTGCCAGTTTATGATGTCTCTTAACGACAACCTTGGTCCGGTGGTTAACAATAACTCTTATATTAAATCTGCCCTCTGCTCTAGTAACCAACATTTTAAACTTGGTCATTTAAATTGCCGTAGTATAAAGGCCCAGCTGAAGATTGAGGAGTTAAGGCATATAATTGTAGATAGCGCATTGCACTTATTTGCTGTATCAGAGACTTGGCTTACTCCTGAAGTTTGTAATAATGCAATTTCCATCCCTGGATATAGAATATGTCGTAATGATCGGCAATTCTCTGGCAGAGGAGGAGGTGTTGCGATATTTGTGCAAAATGGACTACAGTTTAAAACTGTTTTTCAAATCTCATTGGCTGGATGTGAATCATTATTTATTGAATTGGTGTTTGGGCATGTTAAAGTCTTGTTTGGTGTTGTTTACTTGTCTACGGGTTGTTTACACAATTTTGAAGTCAATCATAGAGAAATATTTTCCAAATATTCAAATATAGTCGTTTTAGGTGATTTCAACATTAACTTATTTGATGTTTCCAAAGCAAACATTTGTCGCTCGTTTTGTGCCAGATACAATATGTCGATAATTCATAACTCAAAGCCATCGCATTTTGATTTAGGCAGAAGGTCGACATCGCTTATAGATTTTATGTTAGTAAGTGATGCTTCTTTCAAACATTTTTCTGGTCAAGTTCAATGTCCGTCTGTTTCTGATCATGCCCTCATCTTTGCATGCCTTATTTTCAATGTTTATTATCCGTCCAAATTCATAGTTTTTCGAAATTATAATATAATCGATTGGGATCATTTGTTTACTCTCTTGAGTGAGTTTGATAGCTATGCTTTTTTTTGTTCAGTACATGTAAACATGAAATGTGAATTTCTAACAAATCTGCTTGCAGATCTTTTTTCTTGTGTTCCGGTTGTGCGAAAGGAAATTAATGCTAATTCAGACCGCTGGCTTGAAGCAATGGATGTAGATTTTGCTAGATCGGCTAGGGACTTAGCTTTTTCGGCCTTCCAACATAACAGATGTCAAGAAAATTGGTCCACTTACCGCAGATATCGGAATAGGGCTAGGACCGTAATGCGCAGGGCCAAAAGGAAATTTTTTTCTAAACTCTTAGGTAATGCGAATTCTGCTGGAATATGGAAAATATTGAAAAACTATGGATGTGTAGAATCCGATAATACTGCAATTGACATTAATGTCAATGACATTAATAATTTTTTTGCTCTAAATAATTCTGTGCAGGATAATGAAGTTGACTTCTCTCAGTTTACTGACACAGATTCGTCCTTTTCCTTTCGCTGTGTTTCGGAAATTGAGGTCCATGAAGTCTTGAGCAAGATCAAATGCAAGTCGGTTGGTGTAGATGAAATTCCAATATACTTTATTAAATTGGTTTTTCCATATATTTCTGACTTTGTTCTACATTTAGTGAACTACATTTTAACTAGTTCTTCATTTCCACAAGATTGGAAAACTGCGCGTGTTGTGCCCATTCCAAAATCTAAAAATTTTCAGGGTCCGGAAGACCTCCGCCCAATTTCAATACTTCCAGCCATTTCGAAAATAATAGAAGTTATTTTAAAGAACCAAATATTAGAACATACAAGCAGTTTAATTTGTGATACACAATATGCCTTCAGACGGGGTCACAGTACTACACATTTACTATTGAGAGCCACAGATTTAATCCGTTTGAATCTTAACGAAGGCAAAGTTAATGTTTTGATATCTCTTGATATTTCAAAAGCTTTCAATTCAATAAATTTTTCACTCTTGATTAACAAGTTAAGACACACTTTTAATTTTTCATTGACTGCATGTAAGCTGATACTCTCATACCTTAAGGATAGGACTCAGTTTGTTTCTGTAAATAACTTTAAATCAAATTTGCTTTCCCTTTACAGTGGTGTACCGCAGGGTTCCGTATTGGGCCCGCTATTATTTATCCTTTACGTAAATGACTTACGTGCTTGCATTGACGTGGAATGTTGCACAACATTTCAGTTTGCCGATGATATATTCTTATTATTTACTGGTCGAGGAGATAATTTATCTTTGTTAGAAAATACTATCAACATGTGCCTAAATCAATTTTCAAGTTGGGCATCAGCGAATCATCTAACAGTTAACTCATCTAAGTCCAAAGCACTGTTGTTTGGCATGTCCAAAAATGCATCATCGAACTTAAACATTGTTTTAGGCAATAATATTATTGGTTTTGTTGAACACCATAAAGTTCTGGGTGTTACTATTGATAATGAACTATCGTTTAGTAATCACATTGATATTTTATCTGGCAAAATTTGTTTTTTATTAAGAAGAATATACGCATCAAATTTGTATATGCCTCTTCATGTTAAGAAACAGGTAGCTCATGCATTGCTTATGTCTACCTTTTTATATGGTATTGAGATTGTGTCAGGTTGCATTGGTGGACATCTCTCTCGGTTGCGGAAAATTGTAAATGCAATTGTACGCTTTGTCTATAAGATTCCTTTAAGAAGTCATATTTCTGATTATGTTAAGTGTTTTCTGGGTTGTTCCTTTAACAATTTCATATCTTATCGTATCCTGGTAGGATTTTATAATGTAGTTAAAAATGGTGAGCCTGCATCATTAGCAAGACTTTTTTCCTTTTCACATTCAACCAGAAACCCTCAATTGATTATACCTAGGATATGTAGGAATATTTATGCGCGATCCTTTGTAGTTCGGATTGCACGCGTTTGGAATGTGCTTCCACATGAACTTAGAATATTCTCGCATACTAATAATGTATTTAAAAGGAAATTGCGAATTCATTTGGCAATGAATTAAAATGATGGACTAATCTAGAGTTGTTGTTGTCTAGGACATTTATATATTTTTCTTTTCTTAATAATAGATGGCTGGGGAGCCAAGTAAAAATTATGTATTTTAGTAAAATAAAAGAGTTGTATTATTACTATAAGCTCAGGTTTAATTTTGTAACTAGTAATACTTGTATATGGTCTTATAGGCTTTGTATTACAGAAATGGATGAAATAAAAAAAAAAAAAAAAAAAAAAAAAAAAATAAAAAAAAAAATAAACTGGAAGAGGAATATTAGGGAGCACGAGAATAGATATGGGTAAGGTTGGGTTTCAAAAGCGCATACAATCAATTAGTCAATTGTCCATACTATTTCCACCAATCTTTGCTATCAAAAAGTGCATAGGTCTGTTGGCGAACGAAAACAGTGAACTCAACGGTCCGGTTAATATATACGTCAATAGTCAGACGGACAGAAAGCACTAAATCCGTTTACCATTAAGTCTATGTAAGTTTTACAGTGTAGGAATATATTGAGAAAAGTTTGGTCGTCCATCAAGCCCTGTTGGCTTTCAGGTCATTGTAACGTTTCAGGTAAGAAAGCAGCAAATGAGAACCGGCTTAAACTTATCGATCTTCCTACACTAGAGAAAAATCGATTAATGCTTAGTTGTATTTTTATCATCAAATTTTTGCGTGGTCAAATTGATTCTGAGTTTTTAACTGGTGAAATTAAATTCAATGTCACCTCGCGAAATATACGTAATTACATACCATTTAAACTAACATTAGCAAAATCGAACTATGAATTAAATAATCCTCTCTGGAGTTTATGTGCTGATTATAATAAGTTATATAACACGATTTCTTTGTGTGAACCCTTGCATGTCATAAAAATCTCTATACTACGTTCTTAGTTTGTAAAATAGTTGCCAGATTTAGTCTCTGTGATTTAGGATTTGTATTGTTTAGTTTTACTGTACTTTAGCTTAGATACTTTAATTCTTTTTAATTGTTAAACCGGCTGATGCTCTAATGTACCCGGTTTTCGTTGGCGTTGGTAACGATCGAAAGAATTGACAAGACATGGATACGAGACATTCGGTATTGAGGTCGACGACGACCAATTGATATACGAACATAGCTAAATGAAAGGTGATGTAATGTCTCGAAGAAAAATTCACAGGTCAATGTCATATTAGGTCCATAACTTTTAAGTAGAGGCGACGATACCGAATACGCCCGAACATCTGCTTTGCCACTGTCCAACTCTATTCGGTGTGAGAAACAGGCAACGATTAAAGTAATATACTCGTGGATAAGAAACTATTTTTTAAGTAACTTTTTTCTTTCCGAGCAAAGCGCGTGCTTTAACCTAACATATTGGTTTTATATAGTAAGAATATACTTAATTGGCGTAAGCACTTATACAAAGATAGGTACGTCCCCCTTCGCGCAATTTGAGGAGTTTAGTTCACTGCGTTTTAAACTTTCAATACCGGCAGTTGGAACCCAACAGAAGGGCCGACTTTTGGGCAACGTATCAAAATACCGATATTGGGGCTATACGAAGACGAGGATCTGCATGAACAATTTTCCCTCATAGGCTGTAGTACCCACTAGGAACTTCAAATATCAAATTTGAAACAATTGCATTAAAAAGTGTGACACAAATCATCAAAATACAGAATATCTTGAAATACAGTTATATGGGGATGGGGATATGCAAGGATGTTTCTTAAATAATGGGAACATACAAAAAACCTTCAATCTGTCAGCACAGTTATATGAGGGCTATACCAAAACAGGGACCCATATAGCCCATTTTCAATACCACATCTGAGTGAAATATTATCAAACAAAACAGACACAAATAATAAACAGATCAGGTGTGATCTTGTAGCCATATTGGCTTGAGTATGTTAATCCATCCCCACATTTTTCCCAACCGTCTGGCTACGCTTAGAAAAGGTTTCAAAAGCGGGGAGTTTTTGCATACTTAAGATACTCCCAATTTACTTATGTATTGGACTTCTTTAAACAAAAATTATTTAAATTGTCTTTTCTGACAAGTATTGCCCATAGACAATTCAACATCACTCAATGCCTATCCACTCATTTTGAAAACTCTTATCGTCAGTTTGTCTCAAATGGATTGTCACTCACGACAGGATGACTCAAACCCCCCAAAATTGCTCAATCCTGCACCGGTATAGCTCAACAAAGACTATCTCTAAAATCAGCGCAGACTTCATGATGATAGGTCGTTGCACTCACCACTCACTTTCCAAATGGAAAAATCTCGAAACTATGACTACTAAAAACGCAGGCAGACAGAGACCATAAAACAAAACAATGATTCTATTCACTGAATAAGGAGATGCATTCAATTGCATACTTACAAAAGAAATTCCATCTCGCTACGTGACTCCTTCTAAATCTTTACACTAAATTGCCAGTCTATTAGATGATTATGGTTTGCAAAAGAAAATCTTTGCTTTGTGCCGTCCTTTGTTGTGAATTTTTTAGCGAAATGCAAGAAGTTCGGCCGAAATAGAAACTATATCCAAACGATATGAATATGAATACAAAAAAGAATGGTAAATAAAAGTGGGCAACAAAATGAAATCCGTCTGACTAAGAATGAGGTGTAAAGCATAAATTAAAAAAACCGAAGCCGACTGTGCCTTCTTGTTTGTCGACTTTCAGCAAGTGGGGTACACACTAAAAATCAGTATATAATATTTTTCAATTGTTTATGAGACATTTATTTGTGTCTTCACGCAACAAATTTAATTTATCAAGAGAAATTCAACATTTTTCCTAGTTTTTTTTTTTATTCTGTCATTTTTGTTTGTGTATACCATGCATGGTGGAAGAATACATGTAGTCACATCGACATAGCTGCTGGGACAATGAACTGTCAAACTGATTTTGGAATTGAAAAATATTATTGTTCTCAAGAGTTGATGCATCTACCTAAATTATTTTACCATGATACCATGTTACTATAAAATCAAGGTAGGGCTATGATACCATATGATTTTAATTTTTTTATTTTCTTGGTTTAATATGTCAACTTTATTTGTTTATATGTCTGTATTCTTTTCAATAATTAAAAAATGTTCAGAAAATATTCAAATTCGGGTGTTTTCAAAATGCTTATTGCAACGTATGCATCTACAAAATCTACAGTTTTGTGGCGAAATAAACCTTTAAAGATATATAGAACATGACTTTGAAAAATATTTTGAGCTTTAATTTCATTATATATTCAAAATCAACGCAACAAATTGTGTATTTTTTATTGTTTTGATATTAATTCTGACATTCAAGCCAAACGGTATATACGTCTACCGTTTGCATGCAATTTTTTTTTCAAATTTAGACTACCTTGTCTTCATAGTACCATCATGGTTGAAGAATATATGTAGACGCATCGACACAGCTGCTGGGACAATGAACTGTCAAACCAATTTTGGAATTGAAAATGTTGAATAAAAAATTATTTAAATTCGAAAAAATTGTTGAAAACGAGAATTATAATAACCTCCGAATGGCGTCGTATAAAAAAATATAAAAATCTTCTTATATTTGAAAAAAAAATTAATTTTTTTGACATATCAATGTTCCCAAGCGTTGATGCATCTACCTGTATTCTTCTACCAAATGTATTGATACATTTCAATGTTCGCGCGTCACAACAAAAATAAAGAAAATGATCAACTTAAAAACTAAAGGAAAAACTAATATTTGTCGTGCAAAAAACAAAAAGAGAAAATATGGAGCAACTGACGTATTCACAAGAATTGAGGCCAGAATTCACAATATAAAAAATTAAAATAAATATTTTAATAAGGGTAATAATGAAAAACGATAATAACTGGAAACAAATTAATGCAAGAGAAAAGCTCAAAAGAAATCGATTAAAATAGCCACTAGAAAGCTTGCTGAATCTAATTTGGGGCTAAGAGAACGATATAAGGAAGAAGTGTAATTGAAGATAACATCCTATACTTTTTTCATGGTACAATAAAAAGTTGAGGTAGAACTACCAGCTGTATACAATTTTAAGTGCGTCCGACTTCTACCAATTTTGTCTATGTATTTATTGTTTTAAAAAACAAAACATTTTCAAAATCAATGATTGGAAGACACGTAAATTATGGAGCGCGCATTAAAGGTAATAAACATTTTCACCATAGAATTGAAAGATAAAACAGTTTGAATCGTGTTTTTAAAAGAAAATGCAGGCATTTTATTCATCATTAGCGCTATTTAACTCGTAAAAAATGAGGAAATATATTTAATTATTGAAAAACAACTTGTTGTGAAAATTTTACGTGGAAGAAATTTTGCATGTGAAAATCCCTGTATGTACTATGGTACAGTGAAATCAAGGTAGGGCCCTAAAACCAATCGATTTTAATGTGTTTTTATTTGCCTGACTTAACATGCCAAACTAAGGGTGGGAATACATAAAGCGCTTATTTGGCTAGCTTCTTCGGAAATGAACAAAGGAGCCTAGGGCCAAAATCGAACTAAGTCAACCTAAAACCTCTGTTCTTCTACGAAGAATTTGATGACTTAATTCAGCCAAATAAGGGCTTTAGGCTGGGAATACATAAAGCGCATATTTGGCTGGCTTAAGTCATCGGCTGGCTTCTTCGTAGATGAACAAAGGAGTTTTAGGTTGACCTAGTTCGATTTTGGCCCTAGTCTCCTTTGTTCATCTACGAAGAAGCCAGCCGATGACTTAAGCCAGCCAAATATGCTCTTTATGTATTTCCAGCCTTAGATATTCCCAGCTTACAGTACGTTTATGTATATGAGGGTTAACCCACTGGATTTGGATTTAAATTGTCATATCCATTACTTTTACTTCAAATAAATCCTCTTAAAGTAGGTTAACCCTACAAAAAGTTCTAACGTAAACATGGCATTAATTTGTTTTTTAGTTATATAAAAATAGTTAAGAAATTAAATTCATTTGTAATCAAAATTCGTATTACAAATAAATTTTTAGAAAAATATGGAACATAGTTTTGAAAATAAATGTAGACATTAAGCAACCAGTTGAATTTGTTTTTATAGCAATTCTGACACTACACTCCATACAGGTAGGTCTCTTTACTTGTGAAATTTTCAGCATAGCATACCTTCTCTTCATTGTACCATGGTGTGTACCAACTAATTAAAATTTAACATATATGGAAGAGAAATATATAACGAAAGAAATCTGGAGACTTGACAGGGCTATGTAAACCAGCTTTAATTATAGTATGTCAAACAGCTAAAACGTCTATTCCTACAATCGATTTATCGATTTCAAAACAACGAGGTACCACACAAACGTCAAACTTTTCTTCTAATACCAACACGTGTTAAGTCTGGTGTGGGTCTCTTTATTGAATTAAAAGTATTTTGTATAAAAATTACAAATTAAAGTGAAAAAGGGACATATTTCGTCTAAAATATGGTAAGATTTACATAGATATTTGTATTTTTTTAATTGATTAAACATTTTGTGTTTGCATATTTATATTTATAAACAAATAAATATAACCTCGAAATTAAATAGTGGATATAATTTTTGATTCAATTGTATGTTTTTGTATTTTACAGTCTCAGCTTTACGTTTTATATGAGCATGCGGCTGGGTACGCTTTGTTCTCCGTCAAGGAGTTTGAGGAGGTGTCCATGTTTTTACCTCAAGTAGAATCATCGGTTACCGATTTGGCCAAATTCAATTCGATTGTAAAATTGGGAGGTTTTGCTCCATTCAAAACAGCCATTGCTGCTTTGGAGAATATAAACGCCATCTCTGAAGGTATTGTGCCCCAAGATTTGTTAGTCTTTTTGGATGATTTCTTTTCCAAGCTAAAGAAAAAGAAGTGTCAATTGGGCATTGCTGATGCTAAATTGGGTGCTGCTATTACTGAAGCTATTGGTGTGCAGTGCAGTCATTTTGGCGTTGTACCAGAAATTTTAAGAGGCATTCGCTTCCATTTCCACAAATTGATTAAAGGTAGGTGTAATTTGAAACATATTTTAGTTTACATGTGTTGCTCACACACGGATTTTGTTTTCGTTTCAGGTTTTACCGATAAATCTGCTGGTATTGCCCAACTTGGTTTGGGTCACAGTTATTCTCGTGCCAAGGTGAAGTTCAATGTCCATCGTTCCGATAACATGATTATCCAATCCATTGCCTTGTTGGATCAATTGGATAAAGATGTCAATACATTTTCCATGCGTATACGTGAATGGTACTCCTATCACTTCCCAGAGTTGGTCAAAATTGTACCCGACAATTATATTTATGCCAAGGCTGCAAAATTCATTAAAGATCGCAAAACTTTAACTCAGGATAAACTGGAAGAGTTGGAGGAAATTGTAATGGATTCAGCCAAAGCCCAGGCCATTATTGATGCCGCCAAAATGTCCATGGGTATGGATATATCCATTGTGGATTTAATGAATATTGAACTTTTCGCCGAGAGAGTTGTAAAATTATCAGAATATCGTAAGAAACTCTCGACATACTTGCACAACAAAATGCAATGCGTTGCTCCCAATTTACAATCATTGATTGGTGATCAAGTTGGTGCCCGCCTTATTTCTCACGCCGGTAGCTTGACCAATTTGGCCAAATACCCAGCATCTACAGTACAAATTTTGGGTGCTGAAAAGGCCCTGTTCAGAGCTTTGAAGACCCGATCTAACACACCCAAATATGGTCTACTATATCATTCTTCATTTATTGGTCGTGCCGGTTTGAAAAACAAAGGACGTATTTCACGTTTCTTGGCCAATAAATGTTCAATTGCTTCACGTATCGATTGTTTCTTGGAACAACCCACAGCTGTGTTTGGTGAAACATTGAAACAACAGGTTGAAGAACGTTTGAAATTCTATGAATCTGGTGAAGTTCCACGCAAAAATATTGAAGTAATGAAAGAGGCTATTGGTTTAGCTGCCATTGAAGCACCCTTAAAAATAACTGATGAGAATCAATCACAGAAGAAGAAAAACAAAAAGAAGAAGCGTAAACTAGAGGAAGAAGCGGTTAATGGAAATGGAGTTGCTGCTGAAGCAAATGGTGGTGCTGAAGAAGCTGCTGCAGAAGAGCCAGCCGCCGAAAATGGCGGTGATGGTGAACCCAAAAAGAAGAAGAAAAAGAAGAAGAACAAAAACAAAGATAATGAATAAATTATTTTTGTAGCATTTCTGTTCTTTTTTTAATTTTTATATAGATGTAAGCTTATTAAGGAGTTTTCTTTTTTATCATTTCCTTTCCTCGCCACATCCACTATACCGATACTAGACTTTTTCAAAACATATATGTATTTCTATTGATTTGTATAGATGTATATGTTGGTTTTACAAATTATGCTATAGCCTATGATATGAAATAAAATAAAGAAATTATTTTTCTTATAAAAATCTATACAAGTACGAGTTTTTAATGAAAAATTAAATTACTACATTAGAAGACTAATAATTTTTACCTATAATTGGATGTTCAGAAAATATTCACTTAGCGTTAAAAAATGTATTTGCTTTTCTGTAACTTTGTAGTGAGCGTGGGTTTCTTATTGAAATATGAACTAGTGCCCAAATGACGTCCTTGGTTTGCCCATAAAGTAAAATTTATAGAATGGATTGTGTTGACAATTTCGAAGCGATTCGATTGTTGTTGTAGCCGCTTTACATGGTTTCTTTAATTTTAGCTAATTTGGTTATAGCTCCAGGTTTTAAACTTCGGCTATTTTCGCGAGCTGAAGCCAAATATTTTCTGGGGTAGATTTGGCATCACAATTAAAGATGTTACTCACATATTCAATTCGTTCCCAATACGTTGAAAGTTTAGACGAGCGTAATTGCGCCAAAACTAAAAACATATCGTTTTGTTGTGATATAGCCTAACGAATATAAATACAATGTGATGCTTTGTGGAAGTACAGAAGGAAGAAGTTTAATTTGACATTGAGTACAAAAGTATTAGTTTTCATGATTTGAATTTGTTTTTGAAATTCCGTCATCATCATCAAAATTAAGGTCAATATATACAAAAAGCCAAAAACATCTGCAGATTTAGCATTTTAAGATGATTGCATACTTTTATATGTTACTATTAGTCAGTTGTTGTGAAAGACACAGAACCTGAATTGACATTATTCGAGACCGAACATGAAGCAGTGATATCTTCTTTAAGTAGTAATATACTTTAACAGAATTGTTCCCAGCCCGTGGATATTTAAAGCTGTCCACATTTCTTTTTCGAAAAAAACTATTTTTTAATTCAAATTTCTTACCATCTACATATTTTATTTATATAGATTGTAAATTATATATGTTTTTCAATTTAAATTCATTTAATCTTAATTATCTTTCTTTCACATGTAAATATTTTATTTACTAAAATTTAGTCAAACTACAGTATTTGTTTAACTATTTCATAATAATTTTGTTTCTCATCTTTAAACACATTTACAACCTTTTATTTTACACACAAAAACATATTTATAAATTATAATTGAAATGTATCAAGTTATATGTTATTCTACCTGTCTTAGTTACAAATGACTATATTATTATAGTTATTATGTTTTAAATATATTAATATAATTTATTTAGTTAAAAATCTAATTATTTCTTTTGATTGAAATCGTATATGTATAATTAGTTTGTGTGTTGCACACAGTATGTTGGCAAAAAGAATTTATACATTCGAAAAATTCTAAAGAGAGTAAAATATTGAATTTTGAAAAAAAAAAACGTGAATTATTAAAGTACGGATTTGAGTCTGTATCTGATGGAATAAATTACACTTTTTCAAAGATTAAACTGATGTTCATGAAGAATGTGGTCTTTGTCTTTGTTAAACATGTGGATTACCGATAATTTTTAATATCGATTTTTTAAAAGCTAAAGAAAAGAACTCGTGTCATAAATTCCAGTTGCGTACGCTTTGTTCTATGTTGAAAAGGTTGAGGAAGTCTTAACGGTTTTCCCGCAAGCAGAATAATAGTTTCGTCCCCATGAAAAATTTGAACAACATTAACTCCTTTTCAGAAGGCGTTGCGCTACAAGACTTGTTGTTCCTTTTGACGATATTAAGTTAAAAAATCAACTTAATATAACAATTTTGAATAATTCGATGATTTAATGATTTCCTCTTCAGACTAGCATTTGTTTTATAACATAGATCTTAGAAAATATATATTGAAAGGAAGCAAAACATCAATTTTAAATGATTAAATTTCATTGAATTCTAAGTACTGTGTTATCATCAAACTACTTTAAAAGAAGTTAGACAATGTACCACAAAGAATGGATGGAAGTCGACTTTTTTCATTTTCCATTGCATAGTTTAAGGATGATACAAAGTCAACATCAAAATTTAAAGTCATTAGATTGATTTATGCATTACATCGATTTTTTTTTAATTGGCACATTCTAAATCGTCTGTAGCAATACCTTATAAAGGAAAGATATGAAAATTTAAATATACTTCGAGGTGCGTTATAATTATTCAAACTGACTCTGAATAAGTGGGCCAATATTCTTTATTTCGTATCTGACCTGAGACTAATATAAATATACAATTCCTTCTACACTTCTTCATTTGTATGTGAAATTTTTTAAAAATGTTGGAATGTGCGAAAGGTAGCAGATGGACGGGCCCAAGGAATCCCACTTCATCTAATACTCATAAAGATATTGGGATGTGCCAAATTTTAAGAAAATCTAATATATGTTTTAAATTTTTTGCGAATAATTCATCAAAGCTTTAACCTTGTGTGGGGGAGGTACGAGAAGGAGTGGGCCGATAAATTCCATATTTATAACAAATGTTTGGTTGAGAAAAGAATGTACATATACCAAGTTGGAAAAGAATCGCTGACTTGTTTCGCAAGTTATGAGAGATATAAATATTGGAAATTGTGACCCGTTCTGGAAGACGTACCACAAGGTTTTGAGCCGATATCTATCATCTTCACACCAGTTCCTGTGTTAGTAGAAATATTGGAATGTTTTCAGAAAGAATCAAATGCTTTGTTCGCATTTTATGATAATTTTGGTTATTCAAAATTGTAAATACTTAGGGGGAAAGGCATCAGATGGGGTGGACCAATATTTTCCAACTCACACCAGATCTTCTGTTGATAAAAATATTGGGATGTCCCTAGTTTGAAAGTAATCGGAAGCTAATTTCGCGTTTTATTAACTTCATGGTAATTCCAAATTTTGACCCTTTGTAGGGGAGGCACAAGACGGAGTGGACCGATATATTCCATCTTCACACCTTATCTTGTGTTGATAAAAATATCGAGTTGTGCCGAGTTTGAAAATAATCAGATGCCCATTTCGCGTTTAATGAGTTTCAAGTTTACTCAAAATGTTGACCCCTTAGTAGTGGAGGTACTGGTGGAGTTTGAGGAGGAGGATTTTGACAATAGTATTACGATATACCAACTTTGGAACAAATCAGATACTCACTTCTAGAGATTTCGTGCGCCTTCATCGGCAGTATTTCTTTTAGAGGATGATGCGTATAAATAATATGAAATCCATTTCTTAGATGAACAGAAATAAAAAAAAAATATTCTACACAAAAAAAAGAAAAAATATTCAAAATAAAACTTCATTTGAGTCTCTGAACAAAAAAAAATTGTAATCTATCCAATGGTTTTCATCTTTTTTTCATTTGAATTGATCAAATTGATGATTTTTTCAACACGAACTCGCCCAGAAATCTAGAGTGTTATTTTAAACTACAATTGCGTCATCAAGATAAGCCATATTCTCCCGATTTTGTATATCAACATGAATGGGTTTTGCACGATTACATTCTAGTGATATAAAATGTTATATAGGCCGTAAGAGATTAAGGTCGTTCATCTCAATGGCGAAGCCCTAAAACTTGTAAGAATAATTACAGGTCACTGTAAAATAAGGTACATGGGGTGATGTCGACACCGATTGCTATAGGCTCCTCCAAGAGTCTGAAACGGTCGAGTACCTACACTGCCACTGTCCAACTCTCTTTGGTGTGAAACATTCTACATGACCTGTTTTCATTCTCCGACACTGAATCAGCAGTCATTCTTCAGTTAACCAAAAGACTAATGTGGCTAAAGACAGCACGTTAACTTCTTCATGCATCATGAATTATTTTTTTGTTTCCCCCTTTCCATTTTCTTAAGATTAGTATGAACACAATGGATCAACAGGTCTCCGAGTGGAGTAGTTGTTACAAAACAACAATGTATGCTATACTACTCGAGCAATGGAGATAAACTACGAAATTTCATTTCTCTCACCTTGAAAAAACCAGTAGATTCATGAAAAATTCAAGCGTACTCAAGAGGTAATGCTCTTTTAGAAAATTCATTTTTCATTCATTCATTTGAAGTACTACTGACTTATAATTTGAGAAATATGGTATTCTTATAATCCTAAAAAAATAATCAATATACAGCACATTTCGTACTCATAAAAATATGGAGGCATGTCACAGAAACCAATTTCAAACGAAAGTGGTATTAATTCCGCATTTAGCTTCTTCAGAAAACGAAAAACAATTTTTTTTTTTAGAATGAAACAAGTTTTCTTTTTGCTAATGGAGTTGCGTTTTTATGGAATCTTGTATCTTTTCAACACTTTAAAATATTAAAAATGCTATTTTATGCTTTTATCCTTTTATTTAAAATAATTTCCAAATTTAATTTGTTTTCTAATTGACGAAGGCAATTATCAACAAAGTGTTGCCGCAACATTTTTTCTTGAAAGCCATTTTTCCCCAAACAAAAATTATTAATTTGTGGAATATAGACAATCTGCCCTTACGAATGATAAATTGAAGCAAAGGAATGCTCACACTACACTGGGGTATGACAAGGGATCCGAAGCATCTCTTAAATTGCTTAGGAGAATTTTTTCAGTATTGCATTCATTATTTTGCAATCTCATAAACAATTGAAACTACGGACATTGTGTAAAAATTAACAACATCTAAATTCTTTTCGCACAAAAAAAAAAAATTCTTTTAGACAGAATATTTTTCACAATTTCGACTTCTATAGTGATTTCTAATCATATGGTTTGTTTTGATTCATATCGTTCCTCTAATGTTGCCATATTAACACTGAATAATAATATTTCCGTAATTCACCAAATCGATCGGAATCTGAAAAGGCTAAAGCAAAAACGATTTATTTTAAATTACGGAATTGCTTTCCATTCCGATTGGAATTTATGACATGTCTCATACTCTAGTTTTAAATTATATTGAAAACCAACCAATCATTCCTTACTTCTGGCGTACCCAAGAAAAGGTCATTTGTGTGTTTTTCTATTCATTTCTATACGTTTTCTTCAAATAATATTACAACTACTTGAAATATACAATATAGTGTATGGATCTGTGTATATGTATATAATTTGAAAACAAGTCTTATATGGTACGTTTCTGTTGACATTATCTTAACAAAAATACAAAGGATATAGTAAAAATTGGAATGGAGAAAAAAAAACATAAATTGTGATTATAATTTTTGAAAACAAATATCATTTATGTATAACCTTTTCTTTATGTATCTACTACAATTACAATTCAATAATAATCCAACATTATTAATAATACAATTTGTTTAAAAAAGAAATGTGTATATTTGCTAAATAAACAAAAATAGAAAGAAACAGAGTAGCAGTTTGTGGTTTAGTAACATGGGGACGTTAACAAATTATTGCCAATAAATGCTATGTTTAAAATAGCTAAAAACAATACTACCAATTAAGTTAGGATGAAAGAGGTGGAAACTGTTCTAAATTAGGCCTCAAACAACTGAAATCGGTTACAGAGCTTTCGACTAGAAGCAAATACCATTTACATTTAAAATATTTTTCTTCCTTTTGAAATCTTTGATTACGCGTCTTCAGTCATTTGAGAGTAAACACAAAAATTTAGAAGTAAACCTAATGGAAGAAAAAAACAAAAATGTGATTTATGCCATTAGATATCATTGAAAGAAATCAAAAGATTGTATATTGTTATTGTTGTTATTACTATTAATATTATTGTTGTTGTTGTTTAGGTTGTTATTGTTATTGCTAATAAATCCCATTTTTTGTGGAAATTGTTGAGTTGCTGGTTGCATCAGGTTATTCATTTGATTAAAATTCGCAAATGGTTGTGATGACGGAATGTTCGGTGATGTTGTTGCTGTTTTATTAAAAAATACTGGACCGCTACCAACGCCACCCACCACTCCTGGTGAGATACCCGGTGTTTGTACCCCAAATGCAGCAAAATTGCCCATTACCGGAGTAGTGGTTTGTATTGCCAGTGGTGTCTGCTGTTGGATTGGGTTTATTTGTGGCATATTAGGATTTTGCACTTTGAGAGCATTCATTGAGGGTGCCGGAGCATTTGATTTATTTGTTTTACTAGCAAGTAAATTGTCTAAATCAATTTTCAAATCGCCAGCTTTCAAGTTGTCCGACCAGGTGGAACCGACCTGGACTGCTGGATTGGGTGTTGTGCCGGTCACGGCACTAGAAGAGGCAGTTCCTGTTGATGTTTGCTGTTGTGTATTATTGTTAGCACTGACTGGTTGTAAAAGATTGTTGCCAGCATTGGCAATTGGTGGAAGTATATTGTCTGAAAGGAGGGTAAATTAAATAAAATCATTAAAAACAATTTTATAAAAATAAAAAAAATTAATCAAATAATGAAAATGCTTAAAAATTAAAAGGAATATAAAAAGAATACTTATGTGAAGGATTACAAGAACATAAAACTATATTGACAACAATATTTTATCATTAATAAAAATTGGAATAAATAATGTATCAGCATGTTTGGAAGGTATAGCAGATAGGATAATAGCAAGAATAATTCAAAGATTTGTAGCATTTTTATAAAATTGCAGATATGTGTGTGTATTTATAATAAAAAGCGGTGAACAATATACACATTTCTTCTGTTTTAGATTTTTCTGAAAAGTGAATACGGTGGTGTCGTAGTCATACACACAAAAACGTTATTGTAGGAAAAAAACACAAGGGTTTGGTGAGGGGAAAATAGTGGTACCTTTTCTTATGTGCTATTTTAGTAAATAGAATTCCTCCATATCTTTTAGTTATTGTGAAAAGCAGAAAGTTGCATTTCGTGCTGATTTTTACTCAGGAATTTAGTGCTATATGTGACGCAAGGTATATGCTGGTTGTTGAAGAGTTTACCTAATGGGTCCGCGGTGGTACTATTCCCGGTATGTTGAGAAAAGCTTTTGAGTTAAACAATTTGTTTTTTTTTTATTAAAAACAATAAAATAAATTAAATACAGAAAAAAACGAATAATAAAATTTAATGTACAATTTTGGACTGAATCAACAAATAAGCTATATAGTTATGGTATAATAATAAGAACGTAGTTAATCAAACAGAAATATAATATGTACATTTTGGAAAACAAATGGATATAGTCAATATTATTTACAAAAATTATAAAGTTATAATAAATTAAATTCTCAAGATTTATGTTTTATTTTTTTAATGGTACATCCCTTATAAGTTAAGGATGTTCTTCAAATACATCGCATATATACAAATGCACAATTATGCCATAAGTATTCCGTCGATGGATTTTTATTAAGGATATAAAAGATTACATTATATGACCTAAAGGCAAATTACCTAAAATGGAACAATCTCTATTTGATTCATAGATTTTTAAACATAAATCTAATTAAGGCGTGCAACTAAAGGCAATTTTTCGAGAAAAATATATAAAAATACAGGCTAACTCCCAACTATGGATTGAATTCTAGGTACATTTTGTCTTTCTGAAGCAAAGGAAAAAGAGTGTTCTTATTGGCGTCAGGAACGTCATATAGATAGGAAACTAAGTCAGATCCCCTTCAGTGCTCTGGCTTAGCGCGCAAATAGTTCAAGGCGGTTATGTCCTAGATGCATATCTACGTAGGTTAAAATCTGAAGAATCATATTTCCAGAAAAATTACGCCATTAGAAGTGGAAAAATCAGAAAGTTTCCCGGCAGAATGCCCTGCATCTCCGAGAGACTAAAAAAGAAGTTTGTCGTAGAGTTCTACATGTTTCTAAATATACCTAAATGCAGTCTGAAGTCTTTAAAAGAATCAGCACAGCGAGGTACATATAATCCAACCACAAACCATCCCAACATCATGGGCTCACATGCTACAGCAATTTTAAGCCTCTAGCATGGTATAATTATCACAGGTAGCAGCAAGTCCCAACCGATTTGACTCTATAGTAATACTAGTGTCAAGCTCAATACGACGTTTTGTGATTTAATTCCATTTCTTGATATACAATGTGTACTGCAGGGCAATGTGAACATTTTTTGGCTTATAATCATAGAAAAAATCGCCGTTGTGCTTAACAAAAGGCCAAATAAGATGTTATGTTAAGCAACATAGACGTATATTTAATGTTTTCTAAAATTGCAAAATGTAGAATTTGAAAGGGATGTTGTTTTTTTCACGATTTTCTAGCGATTGCTAGAAGTGTTGAGAGATTAGGACATACAGCTAACAACTGTACATTCAGGGGAATGGTATGAAAGCATTCAAACTAAATAATTGAGGAACTATTCTTCTGCATTTTAAATGTAATAATCCAAGTTCCAAAAATGTATATTTTTGAAATTAAAATAATTTATTGAAAATAAATTATTTTGTTTACATTTTCGGACATATAACTCTGACACTTGTATTACGTACAAAAACAAATTTGTATGTGGTTGTTGTTACGATTGTTGTACAACAACATTTGCTGTTACCTGTATTTTTCTACCATGAGCCTCTAGATTAAGAAGCCTATTAGGCAGGTCTGAAAAAGATTTATACTATTGCATTGAAGGAGTTGTTGTTGTTGTTTAAAGACATTACGGACCCAATTTATTTAAAAGAAAATACAGTACGTCCCTTAATCTTTTATATCGTGATTGCATTAAAGATTTAAATCCTCCAAAATTCATAAAATTACCTTTAATTTTCTTTAAAAAATCTACATTGATCCTTACCTTTAGCCAAGATATTTCAAGACATATTTTGATATGTTTCTTAAGCATCAAATTCTTTATTATTGAAATTTAATTTCAAAAATTTAATAACTAAATTTAATATAAACCAAAAAGAAAAAATAATTAATATAATTTATGAAGAAATATTTTAATTGATATAGTGAATAAAATTCATATTCAAGATGACATGATCTTAGAACTATGTAAGAATATTAATTATCATCAATTTGAGGATTCATAATTTTATAGCATGTATTTAAGATCTGTGTGGCAATTTCCCGGCAATCCTCGGAGGTTTCACCACCCACTAGGGGAGATTTAACAAAATCCTCTAACCAATATCTCAAATCCACCAGGCGTTCGTTAAACTGCTCCACCAATACATAACCAGGAGTGGTGACGAGAGTGACGCCCAATAGCTCCAGGCACGATTGGCGAATACGCGCCTCTGGACTAAATCTGACAAATGAACAAATATCGAATATTTCTCTTGTCATAGCGGGTAGTAGAGGGCAGTTTTGCGCCGCCATAACAATAATGGCTAATGTGTGCAAAAAGTTCACCATGAGCATTGTATCAATATCATGAGCCAGGCGGTCATATTTGACGTAGAGCATTTGTTTGGTACGATCGCCGCGTATTAGACAAAAGAAAAATGTACCCACCACCCCATGGAAACGATTTGTTTTTGGTTTGCTTTGCGCTTGAGTTTTCTGTGAGAAATATCGTTTAGTCTTCTCTCGCAGACGTTTCTTGATCACCTGCTGCGTATTGGCCAAACGTTGTTTCTGATCATTCGCAAATTGAAACTTCCGGATGTAATTTGAATTGTTACGAGAGACAAGTTCTTCGGAGGTTTCTAAATGCTCCTGTCTATCACTTTGTATGTCAGATAATTCTTTGGCGGTAGCTGCTACAATTTGTAGCATTACAATGCGTGCACTTACACTGTAATGAGAGTTATCCGTGTGAAATTGACGACATATATATTCGGCACATTCTGCGGGATGAGCACTACATATGGCTACACAGCATTTGAATTTGGTCTCTTCGAAATTTTCAAAATAGTATTGCATATCAAGTGTTAGGAAAACTTGCATTAAATCCAAGGCTAAACGTGAATCTGATCTAGGCAGTTGAGAACGTATAAGGGATTCGGCAGATGACAATGCTGATTCAAAAATTTCAAAGTTTTCACATTTTTCCGAAAGAGTTTTCAACAAATCGAAAAGGAATTTCGGTCTTTTTTCCATAATTTGTGGTATATCATTGGACATGTCGTAGGGCTTTAAATCATCCTCATCATAATCATCATCGGAGTCCAAGTCCATTTTTGGAGACTTTGCTGGCGGTGGCATATCCAAATCCTGGGGTTCTGGTGGTGGTGTTGGCGGTATTATTGTTGGTTGAATTTCATAGTTTACACTGTTGGTGGTGTGATTAATCATAAATCCTTGTAACATTTTTTCCAAATGATCCATTTTAATTTCATTATTAACTTTATTGTTAAGATTTTGTTCCAGTAATTCATCAAATTCTTTGAGAATTGGTTCCATGTCGGTTCCCATTATGCTGGAATAATCGAATTTCAATCTATCTTCATCCTTAATTTCAGGATCACACATTAAATTAAATAGAATTTCTACACATTTCATGCCAATATGGCGTATTTTGGCATCTGGACATTCCAAATGGTGACGAAGTCCTTCATGTAGTAAACGTTTTATGTCCTCATCATTGTCACCACATCCTTTTGACGAATGGCAGTAATATTTTCCACATAACATCAAAAGTTTGGATAAGTTCAAATGTTCGCTCTGTGATAGCTTTTGTAAACTACACCGCTTAGACCATATATTTAGTACATTTTCATATAGTTTCCTTAATATAGTAAAATCCAGTTTGTTAACATAATTGACCATGCCAATTAGACAATTGTTACTTTCGGGTATTCTTTGGATGGCCAATTTTTGTAGAAAACAAAATTCCCAATTGGGTGAATCTTTTGCACAGGAACCAACAATTTTATATGTATCTAAATCTCCCTTAAGCATACACAATACAATGCGATATATGGCAATATTATCTTCAATTCTTTGAAATGTTGAATGCATTATTTTTTGACCTTGAGGAAAATTACAAAATTCGTCTATGATTTGCATAAATTGGTACAGTACCGAATCGTTGTCATTTTCTCTGCAAAATTCAACAACTATTCTCGAAAGTAAGTCGGACAGAAAGTATAAATCGAAATTATTCTCCTCTATAGATTCACAGTGCATTAGAAACCATATGGATTTCAGAAGATGTTGCAACAACTTTTGACAATAATTCTTTTTTAGAAACATATCATTGACTTTCCCCTGCATTTGATTAGCACAGCGGGTGGGTATGGAAATAAGTAACTGTAAAAATTGTTTAACTTTAATATTAAACCTCTCAACTTCAGTTTCTGGCACTAATTGTATGGTCGTCTTATATTTTTCCATCAGTTTAGCTCTCTCTTTGCACACTTGCAGAAATGATACAGAAATGTAGTTTTCATCTTCTAACATAAATTTCAAAATTTCCATTACACATTCGGGCAGTTCGTTTAGTCTTTGCATAACATACGACCAGGACTCGTAAATGAAATCAAAATTATAATCAATTTTAAATAAATTCATTATGCAACGCTCTTTAGATTCCATATTCTTTGGCCAATCTTTGTTGAACAGCCCACCAATAGCTTGCAGTAGATCAGAGTATTCTTCTTCCGCAATAAAATACCATGGCATTAAATCCTTATCCAAATTGCATATTTGTTCAGCAGTTGCAAATCCTGGTAATGCTCCTCCCCCTTCATGCCACAAATTAAAAATGATTCTTTGGATTTTGTTTACATCCTGAGATGATTGGACTTTTTCTATGCTTTGTAATTCCTTGATAGCATCATGGAGTTGTCGTTTAAGTTTTTCGGGGAATTTGATATCACTGCTATTACAATCGACATCCTTATCCTCACCACCATCATCATTATCATCCGCTGAAAGTGGAAGAATTGAAGGCATCCAATTGGCACATGTTTCCATTAAATATTTGTTTATTATTATTCTTTGATTGGAACAAACTACGAAATACTTCTACTTCATTTTAAGTAGAAAAATTATTGCTTTAAAAATTATTTCAAATTAAATTTTAAGATCACCTCTTTTCAATATAGCTGCAAGAATAATACAATAATTTCCAAGGTAGGGCATGGAAATCATATGAATATGATTTTTCTTAAATAAAACATACATACAGTTTTTATGTGTATGTATTGTTTCAAATTATAAACTCGTTTTAAAAGAGACACAAACAAATAAACATAAGATCTGCGCCTTCAGAGGGCAAAACTCAAAAATTATAAATAAAATAGTTTTAAATATTTTCAAATTCTATTGAAATTTTAAATTCAACGTTTTGAAAAAAATATTTCCGTTTTGGGAAGAAAATGTGTTTCCTTCCAACCAGTTTCCGCCATTTTCTCTTCAATTAAAATATTGTTAGAAAAGTGTCAGATAAACAAAACTGATTCTTACAAAACTGATTCTTGCGTATATATCTCGCATGTTCAGGCGAATTTACATTAAATTTATTAAAGGAAATTGTTTGCTTAATTTTTCGTTTAAAATAGTGTACATATGTTTTGGCAACCTTTTTAGTCCGTTATTTTAGGTTTGTTATCCTTAAAGACTAATTTAAATTAAACGTCATTCGAGGAACTCCTGCGCAGTCCTATTTTATAAAGATGAGAAATCTCAACTTGTATATGTTCGGGATGGATAAGAGGTAAAAGATTAGAAAGAAGGGAAGCAAAGTTGAGGAAACTACGTTATAATAAAAAGAAAGTCCAATTAATTGAAGGTATAACTATTCTGTTAGAGCATTGGTGTTCCTAAAAGCTATCAATAAAAAATAAATGTTTTTTAGTAACTCTAAATGTTGTCCTCACAATTTATAGCTATATAATTCTCATTTATAAGTAGAAAAATCAAAAAATTCCTATGCTGATGCGAATGCGACTCACATTGGTTGAATTTCAATTGTATGTGGTAAGAGTTAAGTAGGAAAATTTAAGCTTCCAATCTTATAAGGATTTACTACAGGGGTATTTTCAAGCTGTGCGAGACCCCACTCTGTCATGCGTAAGTATATAAGCAAACTAGGGCCAAAGTCTTGCATTTTATACAGAAAAAATTTCGATAGAAATTAATTTGATCATGTAAATTTAGGCTTCATTAAATTAAAAGATCTGATGGAACTATAAAACAACGATTACTACAGTTATGGACCAGTTGTTTTCATCAACATTTTAATTTTTACCAGTTGTAAATACATATCATGTAGTTTTTGGAACCGTCCATCGCCCTATGAGCTAGGATACTGTATTAATTGAAAATAAAATAAATAAAAGTTAATAAATGAAAGAATTTGGGCCCAGGCTTTGTTATTGGTGGATTGTTAGTATACGTTAGCGACTATGTCCTATATTTGTTTCGTTTGCAGCTGTTGGTTGAGAAAATGCAAATATGTACTTAAAAATAAAACAACGGCATGACAACAACTGAAAGAAGATACTCGATTTTATTCGAGTGTCATCAAAAAATAAGTATGCTCGATTTATTTTTTCTACTCGAAAGAGAAAATCGAACGAGTTTTACTCTCTACTTGAACTCCAGGCAGCATTTCTGAGCTCAATAACTTGGTTCTTAAATACTATTTCCCAACATATCCCACAATAATAAGGGAATAAAAATTAAAACTTAGAAAGTTATTTTCGTATGGGAAAAAGACTATACATCTATTAAAGCTGATGTTTATCCATTAAGAAGTTTTTGAAAATCTGTATAGTTTACTTATATCTAGAATAGGAAATAATTGGTTCAACGATCGATTAGCAAATTATTTAGTACATAATTTTAGTTGGCAACCTATTTGAGTTTTTTATGTTTAATAATTTCGTAAGACATGCACTAAATAAAAGCGACCAGCAATCCAATTATTACCTAACGAAATGGCACAAAATGCAATATACAATATTTAACACTTTATAGTGTTTGTACAAATTACACTTTATAGTGTTTGTACAAAAATAGTTTGTACAAATTAAAACTAGATATTATTAATTTCACAAAACGATAAGATAACTTACCCATTGGCATACTTTGGTGTATTGATAGATCTCCTAGACCCGCTAGTAGATCTGTTGCTGTTGTAGCAGCACTCATGCTGGTTGTATGATTTGAATTCGCCGTGGTTGTTGCATTAAATAGATCAAATGCATCATTGGCTGGAGTTGCAGTGGTTAGAAGGTTGCCTTCCAAGCCACCAGGTATGGTGTTTGTTGTTGCAGTAGTTGTACTACCTTGGAATGCAGAGAAATCAGCAAAATCATCATTTCCGCCAATACTAGAGGATGCTGCGGTCGCTAAAGCCGTTGAGGGAGGTTCAGCACCATTACCACCGAATGCTGAAGCAAAATCACCAAATTCTGAGTGTTGTTGTTGCTCGGCAGCTCTGGGATTGAAATCATCCAAATCATCACCTATAACTGCAGCACAGTTAAGGGTTTTTTCACTTTTCGGCGAACATGTTGGAAATAGGTTTGATAAGTTATTATTGTTTGCGGTGATGGTGCTATTGCTTTCCAAATCTGATATGCCCAAGCTAATGTTATTATTAATGGGTGAATAACCAATTAAATCGTCATTATTGCTTTCGGCTGGCGTATCGCGATGAGTGGGCGAATGAATGCCGGCTGTTTTGCCGAAATTGGCAGCAGCTCCCATGTCAATTTTCTTTGTGCCACCAACAGCCGGTGTCGTCTTATTTTGTGGTTGTTTTGTAACAGGTCCCACTGTTGTGGGTGCATTAGAAGACGATGACTTGGCAGGACGTATATTCATACTAATGTTACCTGGTGGTTTTGTTTCAGTAGCAATATCTGCAGGACTGGCACGATCATTGTAACGATAGCTTCGTCTGGAAAAGTGGAGTTTTGATATAACAACATTTTATACCTATTATGTAAATAAATAATATACCTTGGACTAGGTGAGTCACTATCTGAAAACTCTTTTTCACCTTCATATTGGACATCATCATCTTCATAGCGATCACCACGTGAATCAGAATCTGAAAAAATGAAGATATTTATTTAAGTTGTGGACCAGCAGACTGCATTTGGAATATTCTACTTACACCAATTATCACCGTGATCCGAACGTGAAGTTCTCCAGCCCCCATCACTGAAGCCACCGCCACCACCATATCCACCGCTACGCATGCCCATAACGTCACTACTCATGCCAATGTATTTGTCCTTATTCTTTTTAGCTTTTTTACGTTCTTCGCGTAAACGATCATCATCCTGTATAAAGTCTATTAGTTCTCTAACCTAAAAACAAAATAAAGCCAATTAAATCGCATCTTGTATTCAGAAAATGCTGTGTTAAACCTACCTTATGCCTAACATTAATACCCTGATCTTTGCCACCCTCATCTGTGAAAGTGTAATTTTCCAAGGAACGTAAATCGTAAATATGTTCTCGTGACGATGTTACAACCCGCTCTGAACCATTGCGCACGAGATAGTTTAATAGTAATAAGCTCTGTAAATGACCGATAAATATTAGAGATCATTTTCAAAAATATTTTTTAAAAGACTCACCTTATAAGTTCGTCTCCAATTGGTTTTATTGTCTTGCAACATACGTTTCCATAACATGGACATTACTTCTGGAAATGTTTCGTATGAAAATGTGGCGTGAGCTAATTCCTGCATCAGAGGGCCCGTGGGGCCCCAGGGATCATCATTGGTCGCTTCACGTACTTTGCCTTCGATTTCCGTATAATTCATAACAACATTTGTGCTATAAGAAAAGGAACAGAATACAAATTGTGATTTACCTTAATAGCTAAAATGGGAAAGAGGGAGGTTTAATGGCTCTGTTTTCTTTTAAATACTTGAGTAGATGATATGTTCCAATTGAGAATGAATCTACTCTAAAATGGGTTAAGAAGGTTTAAAATGGCTTATGGACATTCTTAGATTCCGACAGTATAATCAGATGAAACAATTAAATTACCTCAAATCGGTCAATATGCGAATGTATGTGGAAAATAGTTTTATAGTATAGTTTGAGTGTTTTATTCAAACATCAAATTTTGTACCAGCATTTTTTTTTTTAATTTTTCGTTTTTTTGCAAATTACAGGATTTGAATTCTAATAAAATATAAAAGCAATTATATATGTTTACTATATTTTGTTTTAGAAAAAATTCAAAGAGCTTGATTGTTATTGCGACCCTGAATTGTTATGAAATATGTAATTCAAAGCTCAACCAACCCTCTGAATCCAAACCTTATTAACGATGATGATTTGTTTTAACTAAATAAAACTTTATAGGAATTGATTTTTATTACCGTTTTATTACTTTGGATGTAAACTGATGACATTATCCTAACATTCAATAAAATTAGAAGTTTCAGCAGAGAGAAGATATATTTATAACGCGTTTTACCGCTTTCGTGGCCATCAAACAGACGAACGAAATTTTCAATAGTTCGACACCCTTCTTGACTTGCGACTCAGATTTGTATCGTGCCAGTTATGTTGCAACACTTTCTGATCTATCAAATAATTTATCCAGCGATATATTTATACATTAGGCTTATTTATAGAAACGTACCTACGGGTAATTCGAATTATAGTTTATATTTTCTTCAAAGGACAAAATCTGATAAAATATTCTTCCATACCATCAACAAGTCAATCGTAAAAAAAATAAAAACCGTTTATTTTTTAACTTGTTTGTTTTTTTGATTGCAGCACACGTAAGGGGTGACATGGTGCCACAATAAAACGTCACATCATCACCAGCGACAGCAGCTAATTAAAATCATTAATTTATTATTCATATACATACAGACGAATATAACTTGAAATGTGTGTCAGAATAGCATGGTAAAGATACAAACAAAATAAAAAAACAACAACTACCACTACCTTTCCCTTGAATTCCACCTTATTTCCCACACAAAAGGGAATGCATTTTTTAATATAAAAAACTCTTTCCCCTCTTCTGTTCAAAGTTATTGGTAGGTAGCGTGACGGAAATAAATACACGGTTTATTTCCGACATTGAAGTTTCTGTCATTAAAAGCATTTTAATGTGGTATTGGTTTAAAAACAGAAAAAAAATTATAATAAATACCAAAGCATTAATTTTTAATTTCTATAAAAAAGAGAGAGTATTATTTTGTAATAAAAATTTGAAATTTTCGATTAAAAATATATGACAGCCGGCCGTTCTCTCTTCTACTTCAGCTTGATTTGAATTTATTTTTAGATCGAATGCTCGTCGACATCGCACGGTGCATTTGATTTATAGCGTATGCTTTTGAATGAAGATAGCCGAGGTTTCTAGGAACAATTTGAGTGGAAAAAAATAAAAAAGTTTATCACATTTTGTGTTTCGTTTTTTTTTTTTTTTTTTTCAATTTTCTCGTAACTGATAAAACAAGCCAAGTAGTTTGTATGTGTGTGGAAATGTAGAAAGGCAATTAACATTATTAGGTTTTTTTAACGAATGTTTGCTTATTTTGTTTATTACGAACACTTATTGTATTATAGTTTTTGATTTCGAATAGTTGTTGAAAAAAATAAGAAATGTTGGCGTTTATTCAACACCAAAAAATTAGTTTGACATGGTTTGAATAATACAAATTGTAAAAATAAAATAATATTTATGAAATTACATAGGAAAAAATGTTATTTTTTATTATATCTTCATTCAGAATACAGAGGTATACAATGATTAATCGATTAAGAGACATTTGTAATACTGCTAATATCGTTGCAGTATCTGCTTGGCTGTTATTGTGGGAGTCATCCAAACCATCATAAGGTGGATAATATACCCAGGTAGGGCATTCATTATCTAGAGAGGGAGGTTCAACGCTACAAGAGAGAGCATCTGGATCAAGAAGCCTATCAGGCAGGTCTTAAAGGCATTCATTCATCAGATATGTCATCAATACCATGAATGTCGTCCTCGGAGTAAAACTCCCCCTCCCTTGTAACTAAAGAACAACGTTCAGGCCCGCACAATACGCAGCACATTCTCAATTGCCCGGCCAAAACTACCTCAGTCGCTCCAGAAGGCCGCTGGTTACAGTCCATTTAAGTAGCCGAATTTTGAAGCAGGAGCAGAGCACAACATAACAAAAAGACAAAAACGCGACCAAAAATAATTCATTGCAAATTTAAGATATATGTCCTAAATACTGAAAAAAGTTGTAAGCTTTACTTATATAGCGTAAATAAACGCAATACGTCATCAAATAATACATATTAAAGTCTTCCATACAGTACAAACAACATCAATAATAAAATAAACAAAGTATTTAAGTAATCACCTATCCTTTGGCAGTCTATGTCCTTTTATACAGCTTGTTTGTACTACTACCCCGTGAGTAAACAAATATCCTATTACAAAACAATTAATCTTCTTTAATCGCCCGTAAAATATTTGCAATGAAAAATTAACAGCGTAACCATTTGATGTACGGCTGCCTACCTACTCTAGGGAAAGTGTCATCTAAATATGGAACAAATTGAAAAAACAGGTGGTTAAACAAACATACATTTAAATGTACATATAAGGAAGACAATGTTCCTCAACTTAGTCGAAGATTGGAAGGGGGAGAACTAAAAAATAATAGTGATAGTGGCTTACGTGTTATGTCGTGGTATACTTGCTGGCCGGGCTAAGCAACAATATCATTAGACAATAAAATGTTTTAAGATAACAGAAAAAACGCATTCGACACATTCAAGTACAAAACAAATAAAAAAGTATGTACAATCGCTATACCATACGAACATACCAAATAAAAACAAATAAAAGTAACAACACTTCGATGGAAGTGCCAACAGGGAGGGCTTGTGCATAAGGTGCAAATGCTAGTCAAAGGGGAGCCAGGGGAGAAGTAAGTAAAACCAGTACGCAAGTGTAGCTACATTTGTTGTTGCCTTTGCCATAACAAAAACACGAATATAGCAAATACAAGAACAATGCTTGACAAACAGAGAACTAGCTAGTCAACCAGCTAGCCAGCTAGACTACATGCGCTACATAGATAGAAGTGACGAGCCAAGCTTAAAATAAAGCTTGTCTTTTTAAATCTTGTCTTGTTTTTCCATTTTCAAAAATATCGCAGAAGCGAATGTAGTGTACACACACACAAACATTAAAATATTGTGTAGATAATGTCTCAAAGGCTGTTGTCTTCGGTGCTATCATTTAGTAAGGAGTGAATCAACAAACTTTTGAGCCATTCAAGAAGATTGCTTTCTTTAGTTTGTGTATATCAACGTCTGTTGGCTATTTATGTATCCGCAATTGATTTTGTTGCCACCATCACCTCCGTCATCTCATTCTCTCTATCGACATTACCTTGACCAGATTTATGACATATATTTGTTAATTTGATTTACCACAAAACAAGTGAATCTATGAAAATCTTGTTGGGCGATAATGACACCCTCATCGGCATAGTCATCATGCTCTTCAAATAGACTCTCATCAAGCCCCTTTCCCCCACACCCATTTAATTGATTAAGCTTAGTGCAACTTATAACCATTCAAGTTCACTTACACTTTATCCGCCAATTCGCGTACTTTCCACATATTTATAAATTTATCAACCATTTTGTTTTAGCTTGATTCTTATTTGGTTTTTTTGTTTCCTGCTGCTGGTGTGTTATGGAATTTAATTTTTTGCTGGTGGTCGTTGCTATAGCTTCTTTACAAGCGCAGCTATTTTCAAAATAGGAGACAATTCAGTCACTATAAAATATCTTCACACTCAGAAATCGAATTGGAACAGTACTATTTTTTTGCATGGACTGCCACTTGATTTCTTGTACTACTTGTCGTTGTCGTTCGTTCCTCTTCACTGTACACGTTTCTTTTTTCGATTTGCTTTTTTCCGTACGAAATGCGTTCGATTTTCAGTATTTTATTGTATCCTTGCTTTATTTGTAGCTTAAAGCTTTCTTTTTACAAAATACAAAAACTAAAATGTTGGAAATAATCAAAAGAAATTCTGTACAAAAAACAAATTAGTTAATAAGTTTACGAAGAAAATGATGACTGACGACGAAAATTGCTTTGCTGTCCTAGAGCTGGCAAACATTCGATGGAACTATCGATATTCTCCTTCTTTCATCAATATCATTGATAGTCTGTACAATCGATAATACGGTTCAGGCTCTAATATCATGTTCTAATTAGCAGTTAGATGATGTTGTTTGCTTTGCAATCATTTACTCTGTTCCAGAACTGCAAGAACATCTAGCGATGTCCGTCCGTCTGTCAGTCTGGCTGGTGCGCACGATAACTCTCGAAGGAAATATCCGATTTGATCCAAACTTGGTACATCGCAATATTATTGTCAAACTTAGATCGAGTTTGGAGATTGGTAATATCGGTCCACTCATGGTACAATAAAAAGGTAAGGTAGAGCTACCAGCTGATTACAATTATTTTCTGAGTGTGCTCGAATTCTGCCAATTTTATGCATGTATTTATTGTTTTGAAAAATAAAAACAAAATTTTTTCAAAATCAAGGATTGGAAGAAACGTAGATTGTGGGGCGCGCTTTGAAGATATTAACCAGTTTTGCTATGGAATTGATCTTCATCTTTCGCTTTATTGAAGTTATTTTAAAAATGAGTAAAAATGTGAAATAAGTGAAAACCACTTGTTGCATATAATTTTGAATAATTCTGATAGGAAGCGGGCATAGCCTCAGAGCTGTATTTATGTACTTTTACGAAGCTGTTCTACCTCCTTATTGTACCTTGGGTCCACTCCTTCTAGTACCTCCCCACAAAATGACAACATTTTCAAAGAAAATATTTTACTGCACAGAAAGAAAAAGTATGATTCAATTTTGCTCCAACTTTTCATATCCTAATATTTGCATCAAGAAAAATTTACAATATCGGCCCACTCCATCAAGTACCTCCCCCACAAACGGTCAACATTTTGAATAATTAAAATTCTTATAAAATGTGATGTAAGAGTCCGATTGTCTTGTCTATTAACCCAAAGTCTGGTGCAAAAATGAATAATATCGGTGCACTCCTTCTGGTACCTCCCCCACAAAGGATAAAAATTTGAATATTCATGAAGCTCATAAAACACGAAATTAACTCCCGATTCCATTCAGACTTGGCACATCTCATTTCATAAGCAGAATATCTCTTATAAAGGTGGTAGAGATCAGACCATTCCTTCTGGCACCTCCCCCATAAAGGGGGAAAACAAGATCTGTTATATAGATGATAGAGATCGGACCGTTTCTTCCGGTATCTCAAAACGCTCAAAGAAAGCAAAAAAAAGGCATCAAACTCTCCTCATATTTTACACATCCAAATATTTTTACTAACGCAAGATATGTTGTGAAGATGATAGTTGTGTTCCAGAACCTACAAATTAGTACTAAGGTTGAAAAATATATTGATACATTTCAATGTTCGAGCGTCACAACAAAAATAAAGAAAATGATCAACTTAAAATCTAAAGGAAAAACTAATATTTGTCGTTCAAAAAAACAAAAAGAAAAAAATTATGGGGCAAAGTGAAGAGGATTATTAATTATTATTATAGATTATTAATTTTAACTTATCGTCTTCAATACTCATTTTTAAAATTTTGGCGTCCTTTTCAGTAAGGTTTCACTAGTCCGATTTAGACCGTTTACCTTTGGAATTTTGACATTTTATCTCATTTCTGCTAATTTTCCGTTCCCTTATTTTTTGAGCACACGAAAATGAGAATGACATTTCGAACTGTTCTCTCGTCTGCTAGTTTTACTACTAAAAAAAGTACTGGAACACAAGTGATATATATCTGACAACTCCTTCTGGTACCTCACCCACAAAAGGTTCGCAATTTTCAATGCTAATACCTCTCAAAAATAAAAGTTCTGCTCCAGGTCGTGCAATAATCTACTAGTTTTGAAAATTTTTTGATAAAGGACAAATCGGTTATCGTTATAAAAATTTGTACATTCTTGCAGTTCTGGAACAGACAATAAAATTAAGTTTTGCTTGAATATGTTGAGTTTGAAGATTCAGTTGCATAAGCGGTCGCATACAGTTTTTTATTTATTGAGCTTTTTCGGCTATTAATTATAAAATATCATCTTAATTCCCCACATAACATTTCCTGAACGAAGAAGGATTTTTGGTCTTTGTTCCATCCAAATAACTTACAGAACTAAGATGAAATACATTGGAGCACCGAATTGCGTTGTCCCGATTTGCGTCGTTTTGAGTTGCGTCGCTTTTCAAAAACCCGAAAATTCGATTTGCATCGTTGCAGTTGCAAGGTGCGTGAGCAACATCGTGGATTACTATTTTCTTTTTTTGCATTCGCAGTGCCTGATTTAGCATCTTTTCTGTCGTTTAGCATTTTTAGAACCTCTGGCAACACTGATCGTCACCGGTACGTTAACCAATGTTCAAATTGCGTGAAATAAGTAGAATTCCCTTTCCTTTATGCTGCCCTCAGACACACCAACAGTTGGCCCAACTTGTCACTTTTAAGTTGTATGAAAAAGTTGGTCGGTCTCCTCGCACGTACCAACTTTTCATACAACTGTTGTACCAACTTTTCATTTACAAAGTATTTTTGAAGCGTCAACATGAACTCTGATGCTCTTGCGCTACTTGGAATTGATATAATTTTAGCGCTCAACGCTCAGCTTATGTATGTGCTGCTTCACCAAAGTCAAGACATAAATGAAGAAAACACTGAAGTTGGTACAACTTGCCCTCGCACGCACCAACAGTTGGCCCAACTTACGAAATTATCAAAAATTTTTGATATTTCCAACCAACTTCAACCAACTTTCGAAAAAGTTGTACAACTAGCCCTCAGACGCACCAATAGTTGTACCAACTTGTCACAAGTTGGGCCAACTGTTGGTGTGTCTGAGGGCAGCATTATGGTGCTATATGTAAATGAATTTAATTTTTGTTATGTTTTTTCTATTTATTGTTTTGTTATTTCGTTATAATAATTATAAACAATTTTTGAAGTAAATGGAATAAATAAAAATGTATTCATACTTGCTTTTTGTCAATAATATAAAATGTTTTGCTTTGTTTTGAATATTTTCCCCAGTAAACTAAATTTCAGTGCATTTTGTATATGTATAGAAAAAGGTGATTTGATTTGCGTCGCGATTCTCCGATCCCCATTAACGACGCAAGTCGGGGCTCTAGTGTATGTGCCATCCCTAACAAATGAGAGCATTTACCGTCCGTCCGTCCTTCGCTAGTATTGTCTGAGAGTGTTGAGCATGATTTCGCATAAATTGGGTGTTAAAATTACCTATTAAGGCTGGAAATACATAAAGCGCATATTTGGCTGGCTTCTTCGTAAATGAACAAAGGAGTTTTAGGTTGACCTAGTTCGATTTTGGCCCTAGGCTCCTTTGTTCATTTCCGAAGAAGCCAGCCGATGACTTAAGTCAGCCAAATAAGCGCTTTATGTATTCCCAGTTTAAAGCACCTATCTCATAATTTTCAATACTTCTGTTTGTTTCAGGTATCTTGGCGAAATTGATTTTAATTTGTGTTTTTGTGAGATGTGAAGTGTTGAGGTTGTTTTAAAACAAGGTTCGAACTATCAAGATCATGGACGAGTTTAATTGGGAAATGATCCGAAAAGTTTGCAATGGTGTAGGTGTTGAAGTTGGGGTTACTCATATTTAGTAAATGTGGCTCAGTAAAAAGTGGTCTAGGTAAGAAGGTCCTTTTGAATACGATGGCGCAGAATCACAAAGGCGTGTGACTTCTACGGTGTTATCATCCAGCCAGGATCGTAGTACTCTTCAATTAGAGTTATCTTGTAAGTCACCCCAGGAGATGTTTTTGGAGTTGAGGTCGCCGCCAAGGACAAAACCATCGAAATTATTGAATAGTTGGAGTATTTTGACCAAATCTGATTCAAGACTGTTGACTGGATAGTTGCAGGGTATATATACGGAACCTATTAGACATCTTAAAAGACCGCTATTTGTGGAAAACTGTATTTGTAGAAGCGCTGTGTTTATAACAATATCATTAATGAAGATTCTTGTGAAATTAATATTTTTTTTATGGCAACAGCAACACCAACGGGGGAATTTTCGGTAATAAAGTTGTATCCGTCCATATGTATCCTTGAGTTCTTACGCAAGTGACTTTCCTGAATGAAGGCAAAATATATATTTTCTTTGTGCAGAAAAATTCTTAGCTCAATTTGTCTACTTGCATCAACAAGTGAACGCACATTGAATGTTAAAATTTTGATGCGATTATGGGCCATATTTAGCTCTTACTTTTGAAAGAAGTTTTAGAAACTTTTCTTTTGCTTCCGTCTTTGGCATGTTCTTGTATTCATTTAAAAACTTTTTTCTATGACTTTTGTTATTTTAATGCGTTTAGCGGCAGCGTATTTTGTATACAGGAAAGCCTTTACATTTAGCGGGGTGTCCTGTTGTAGTGCAGTTGATGCAGTAAGGTTCCGATGTGTCTGAGCTGTTTCGGTGGCATTGAACGTCGCTATCTTTTTTTTTTGGGGTTTTTCCCAATTGATGGTTGGTTTATGCAGTTCTGATATATGTCGGTATTATTTTTACTGGACATTATTGTTTTTAATTTAGTCACCGCTGCCACTTTTTCAGGGACAAGTTGGTCTAGTTCCTGCTTAAGTATATTGCTGTCAACTCGGCCGAAAAGACCTCTTATTATCATTGACACCTGTTTCAGCTCCTTCGGTGTGAACGAATAGGAGTGTAAGTTCTTCATAGACGCGTGTATTTTAGGATCCGCAAAAAATAATTTGCTTTTTGATTTGTTAACGTTTTTGATTTTGAAAGAACTTACTGGAGTAGACTCCTTCAATTTGTTGACCAACGATTCAAAGTTGACATTAGATACAAAGATGGGGGGGACACCAATTTGGTTTAGTCTGTTTTCGTCATTTTTGTTTTCTTGCGACTTGGGTGTCTTGGTGTTGGTGACTGGAATTGATTCGCCGATATCTACATCTGCTAAAGCCCCGAGAATACCGAATCTGTTTTGATCGAGAGGATTATGACTAGATAATCGCTTATTCAGGTCAGATAAGTCTAGATTTATTGACGATAAAGCGCTATCAAGTCTTTGTCTTTTGCGATCGAATGTCATTGATCTTGTTAATTTGGGTGGTTTGTTAGTTGTTGCTGATGGCGGCAGTGGATGTTCAGAAGTTGATGCAACGAGTTCTGCAACGTCAAACTCCATATCAGGAAGATTTTCAGACATCTCCATTGCAAACAAATGCAGTTAAGATGCCTGCAATTGTTTTTCAAAAAGAAGAAAAACCCAATTAGATTTTAAACAGTTATAATTCGCACGTCTGATCGGTCTTTTCCAGAACTGCTAAATGTAATTTTTTACTGTTGTGCTAATAGCTGTGTCGGTCTTCGGATCCCTATTTCAATTTTTACACTCCGTTTTGACTTCATTTTTATAACGACGTTAGAATTTTTTTTAATAGTTGCTTTGTAATCTGGATGTCATCATTCTGGCTGTCATCCACCGAGACCGTGTGTGACTTAATTTTACAAAAAGTAAATATTATTTGAAATTCTATATTAAAATGTAAATAATAATGTGGCCAGAGCATGACTTCTTTGCTATAGAACAGTCGTAATACGTGAGATTGTAAAAATAGGAGCGATAATTGCTATTGTTGGTCGTAAATTCTGAATATAAACAAACAAAAAAGGTAATGTAAACTTTTTGTCTCACCATTCTAGCGGCTTTGGCAGCATTTATTCCACATTGATTTTGGAAAAATATCAATATGTGCAACTTCGAAAAAATTGTAATAATTTTTTAATCAAAATTTTCAATTCTAATATTGGTTGGACAGTTAATTGTCCCAGTAGCTGTGTCGATGCATCTACCTGTATTCTTGTACCATGATAAGAGTCATGTATATAAATTTCAGTTTTCTGGTATAGAAGAGAATTGACCATGGTAGAGGAATATAGGTCGGCGCATCGACACAGCTGCTGGGGCAATGAACTTTCAAACCAATTTTGGAACTGAAAATGTTGAATGGAAAACATTAAATTTGTAAAAATGTTGAAAAAACGAGAATTATAATAACGTCCGAATGACGTCAAATAAAAAAACATATAAAAATCAGCTTATATTTGAAAAAATATTTAAATTTTTTTGACATACAATGTTCCCAAACGTTGATTTTTCTACCATGAGAATTGACTGAATTAAATGCCACTTTACTTTGACCCACTGTTTTAAAAATTCATTTCTATCTGACGATCTTTACATGTGTGCATTGGGACGGAGTATTATAAATCATTTGTTTATAGTAAGTTATCTTTGGTCTTTGAACGTTGCTTGCTCTTTGAATAAGGTAGGATACACACTGTCACTCAAGGGTGAAGCAGAATGAACGCGATGGGACTTGCTATGCATTGTCATCGATAAAACAAACAACACAGGGAGATGATAACAACAAGACTTAAGATGTGGGTCCATAAGCAGCTTAGCATCATGGCTGGGCATATTAATAGGAGTGTTCGTTTACTCGTTAATTTGTACAAAAGTCCACTAAGTATATAATTATTATCTGAGTGTGCTCTTTATTTTGTATTTATTGATTTTTTCCATAGTCAATGTTTGGAAAAAAATACATTGTGGGGCGTGCTTTGAGGTATAACGCAGTTTTGCCATAGGGTTCTGCTACAGAACCTGCAAGAATCTACTAGTTTTGAAAAAAGGTTCGAAATCAAAAAGGATAAATCGGTTATCGTTGTAAAAATTTGTACATTCTTGTAGTTCTGCATGGTAGAATTAAGAAGGTAAAGTCATGCAATCATATGTTTACAATTTTTTTCAAAATTATTCATTTGACATCATCTTATTGTCAATTTTTTATTTATAAATCCATTGTACATACACAAATCAGAGATGGGAACCTGCCTTCTATACAGTGAAAACTGACAAGGTAAATTACAGAAAATGCGAAGATGGGAATGCTTATTTGAAGTGACTTCGCTTCCTTAATTTTACCATATAGTTCTGGAACGGACCATAAATCCAAGTTTTGCGTAAAAGGTTGAATTTGAAAGATTCAGTTGTATAAGCGACCCCATACAATTTTTATTTATTTCCCTTTTTACATTTTTCATTATTTTCCGCTGTTTTTAACATATTTTTAACGGTCAATTATATTTCTCGTTATTATCGATTTTCCATTTGGTCTTACAACCATTGTACCATGGTACCATGGTACAACAGCTTCGTAAAACTGCAGAAATACAGCCCTGAGGCTATGCCCGCTTCCTGTCAGAATTATTCAAAATTATAGGTAACAAGTTGTGTTCATTTATTTTATATTTTTTTGTTCATTTCTTAAATGTGTCAAATAGAGCGAAAGATGAATGAAATGGCTGGATGTTCTCTCAAAAACATGATCCTAAGGCTGGAAATACATAAAGCACATATTTGGCTGGCTTAAGTCATCGGCTGGCTTCTTCGTAGATGAACAAAGGAGTTTTAGGTTGACCTAGTTCGATTTTGACCCTAGTCTCCTTTGTTCATTTCCGAAAAAGCCAGCCGATGACTTAAGCCAGCCAAATATGCGATTTATGTATTCCCAGCTTAAGTGTTCAATCTGTCAATTCCATGGCAAATTCCCCGCAATTTAAGTTTCTTCCAATCATTGATTTTGAAAATATTTTGTTTTTATTTTTTAAAACAACAAATACATACACAAAATTGGCAGAAGTCGGGCACACTTAGAAAAAAAATTGTAATCAGCTGGGAGTTCTACCTTACCTTTTTATTGTATCATGCCATGGTACAATGAAATCAAGGTAAGGCACTGAAACTAATCGATTGCTCTTTTCCAAAACTGTAAGAATGAAAAGTTGCCCGCACACGGTCATAATTTTTTGATTTCTCTCGTGCATGCCGCTCGATGGAGGGATCCTGCATATTTTTATACACGATTATGATGACATTCATTTTGACCGTTTACGGGGCACTTAAATTGTATTTTTACTATTACGCTCATTGCTGTTTCGGTCTTCGGATCCCAATTTCAATTTTTATATTGTTTTGATTTTTATTTTATAACGACGTTAGAATTCTTTCTAATAGTAGCTTTGTAATCTGACTGTCATCATTCTGGCTGTCATCCACCGAGACCGTGTGTGACTTAATTTTACAAAAAGTAAATATTATTTGAAATTCTATATTAAAATTGAAATAACAATGTGGCCAGGGCATGACATCTTTACTATAGAACTGTCGTAATACGTGAGATTGTAAAAATAGGAGCGAGAATTGCTATTTCTGGTCGTAAATTCTGAATGAAAACAAACAAAAAAGGTTATGTAAACTTTTTGTCTCACCATTCTAGCGGCTCTGGCAGCAGTTATCCCACATTGATTTCGGAAAAATATCAATATGATGAGCTTACGTTTCTGTGCAACCTCGGCCGGGCATTTGTTTCGACGAGCGGCATTTGGCAGTGCCAGTGTCATGCGTTCATCCTCTAATGTTGCTGCTGTTGAGGCCGCCAGTAGTTCATCAAAACATTCGGCCACTACTGGAAGCAGTACCGGTAAAGATTCGGTCGATGTAAAAGCGCCAGAAGATGCCACTAAAAATCCTAAATGTAAAATTTATATGATATTAAGGGAAAATAATAGAATTTCTTACCAATTTTAATTCATTCGTAGATTCCTTGGTTGCTGCCGCCTTTGAAAATTTACAAAAAGATGATTCTTCCCAGGCATCTGCATCGTCATCGAAAGCCAACACCAGCGCATCTAAGGGATCCAACATAGATGAACGCATCACAAATGCCAAGACCATTAATGGTCTTTTGGGCATCACCGAAGGCAATACTGTGTTGACACGCAAACATGCCCTTCGAATTGTATCCATACTGTCGGAATGGAGCAGTATGAATCGCGTTAAGCTAAATGAATTTGAAAATGATCCACGTTTCTTAAAGGTTTGCCGTATGCTTGGACGTACTGTACCCAAGAATGGCAATGGCGATAAGGTTGGGGATGGCTCATCAAAACGTATTTCTGGTTTTCGAACAGATGATCTCAACACAGTTTTGGGTGTTGCTGGTGATGATGAAGCTGCCAAACTTATAGCTAGCATTAGTCTACCACAAATGGTTAAAGTGATGAGTACTTTGGCGGCACGCAAAAGACGTAGTACCCCTTTATTACGTTCCTTGGCTTTTAACATCAGCAGTTCGACGGAACATTTGGATTTGAAACAATGTGGTGATGTTTTTTATGCAATGGCTACTTTGAACTTCCAAGATTCCGTATTGGCGGCCAAACTCTGTGCTGATATCCAGGCTGCTTTGCCAAAGAATACTGATAAATCGGCTGTGATTGGTTCTATTCTGACAAGTTTGGGTATTTTAAAATACAGGGATTTGGGTGAGAAGATTATTAGTTTTTTCGCTTTAAACGAAGTTTTTGATTTTTTTTTATTCGTTCTGCAGACATTATGGAATCTCTAACTCAGTGGACCATTAAACATAGCGATATCTGCCGGCCACAGGATTTAAGTGCTCTCTTTTTAACCTCAGCCATGTTGAATTTTAAAAGCACCAACATCGAGGAGGTCCAGCAGAAGCTGGCCAAGACAATCGTTCAACAGGATTTCAGCAAAAGTGTTGATTGGCTAAATCATGTATGGGCCATGACAATTCTTGGTTTGAGTACAAACCAGCAGCTGGAAAGTGTGTTGAGCAAATCATTTATAGATAAAATCCAAACTGAGAAGACTGGCCTAAGTGCAACATCTAAAATGAAGTTGTTAAACCTTAATAGTTACGCTCAAATGTTATCTTCTGACTACAAGGGTGAATTAATTCCGACCGATAGTGAAGTATATAAAGTTCCAATGGCCCATGCTAAGGGGAAGCAGGTGCTGGTCAATGGTCTGTTGGATGCCCTAAAGAGTCTGTTGCCATCTCAAAATCATGTTAATAGTTTGGTTGACAGCAAAATGGGTTTTCTAATTGGTGAGTATTGTATTCTTTCTGTTCAGAAGAAATTGTTTCAAGTAAAAAATATAACGGCAGCAATAGTGTTTTTTAAGATTTTTTAAAAATAATTTCAAAACAGAAATGGTAGATTTTAAAGACTAACTTTTAAGAATAAGTGATATAACTTCTAAAGACATTTCAATACAGGGTTCGTAGACTATTTAAAAATATTTTTCAAATTGTATTGAAATCAAATAAATTTTAGTCTGATTAATAATTGCGTAATTTTTAAGATCATAACAGGAAAATGAAAGTGTATTTTTAAAATATCCTTTCACGAGTACCATAACTGGAATATCTTTTCACGACTATCAACATTTTAGTGAGCGAGGATTGTTAATTTTTTTAAAAATATATGTTCAAGTAAATTATGGATTTTATGGTCCTTAGAGTAATTTCCCACGATTATTTTAAAGGAATGTCTGTGCTAGAATTGTAAATGGTCTGACTACTTTTTTCTTTTGCAGATGCTGTTTGTGTATTCGATAATAAGCGTAATCCTTTGCCACTCGACAAAACACATAAGGATGCAATCAAGTAAGTTTTCTCCAACACATAAATAATGCATTTTCAAACCAAAACCTTTAATTTGTATTTTCTTTCTAGAGTTGCGTTAATGATTGTCGATTATCATGATATCTGTCACGGTACCCATAAATCGGCTACCGGTATTACCAGCCTTAGTTGTGATCTGCTGGAAAAGACTGGCTATAGAGTCATACCGATACCGTACAATGAATTCAATACCAGTGATAAACTGCTGAAGCGAGTCCAGTATTTGGAAAGCAAATTCAAGGCCCTTATTAAATAGTTTTAATAAATCAATGATATGATTTAATCATAATTGTAGAGAAGAGCGAAGGAATCAACAATTAAACAAATGTTTTTAGTTTTAAACCAAAATTGTTAATGGAAAGTGTGTATAATACATTGTTGTACTTGAATTTTTTTTAAAGTATACTTTAAAACGATCCAAAACCAAATGAAGGTGAAGAATAGTACACAAGAATATAACAAATATTGTATGCTTAGTTTAAAATTTATTATTAAATTTTATTTAATATTTCAAATCAAGAAAACAATTAACAAATTTCTCCATTTATCGCATGAGCATAACGGGAAATTATCGTGAATGATCAAGGAATATATTTGTCTTTCCCTCGCCTATTTCATTTGGTTCTATGAATAACATTTGAATTAAGCAGTAAATACAGAGGACATTTTTATTTCAAAATCATACAAAAAATTACATAATTTTTCCCAATGTATAATTACGATCGCCAGTATTTTCTTTACATCTCATATCAATACCTATGCCACCCGATGTCATATGATCAACACGCACCTTACGCTGACGATTTAAACCCACATTCCACCACTGTCCGGTTTCGGTAAATTCAACTGAAACTGAGGCTAGATTATGGAAGGCATTTTTGGCCAACATATGTCGATTTGCCACCTCCAAACGGGTCTTCAAGTCGTAGACACTTTCTAAGTCTTCAACACGACTATGATTACGGGCCTCAGTATCGGTTAGACAAATACAATTCCACGGCGACCATTCTTCACTTTTGTTCCATCGTGGTAATCTACAAAAAAGGAACAAAGAGATTCCATTTGGAAAATAATGTTTAACTGGATGCTCCACATACCTTAGCCTTGACAGAATATTGCATTTACTCAATACCGAATGACCATGCCAAATTTGATGAACAATATGACGTATATCATCCACCTGCATGATGAAGGCCAATGAGCTGCTGCAATGCTTTTTACGTTCATCTCTTTGTATGGATCTAAGAATGGCTGTGTAGACCACATTTTCAGTGGATGCCACCTGAATTGGAAAGTGTTTATAATTTGGAAATTATCAAAAGGCTTCGTTTCAAGTCCCTTACCTTCAAGTAATAACATTTTTTACATGTATCCACCTGGAATTGTCGTGTTCGAATGGCGAACTGAGAATATGGTTTTACCTGTTTACACACCCAACACATACGATTTCCTTGTTCTGAAAGGGGAAGAAAAATGTTACAGAACATGAAATATTTTTTCTCAAATGAAAACAGCGTTGGAAATGTTGAATGTTAGGGTCTTATTTTAAGAATTATTACAACAACAAACGATATGGCATCACTTGTTGTCGACATCCATACCGTAACGCCGTCGACTGTTTGATTTGAATTTTTTATTATACCCTCCACCATAGTATGGAGGGTATATTGAGTTTGTCATTCCGTTTTTCACACCTCGAAATATAAATTTTAGACGCCGCAAGGTATATATATTTTTTTGATCGGCATGCAATTCTAAGTCGATATAGCGATGTCCGTCTGTGAAAATCACTCTACTTTGAACGAAATCAATTGGTTGCTTTATCAGATGTGTGTTAGATCTGCAGTCACAATTTTAACCCGAAATTGCTGTAAATTGGCAGCATGTGTTCCCATTATACCAGTTTTGGTATAGTCCCCATATAACTGTACTTCCAAATATTCGGAATTTTGAGGATTTTTGTCACAATTTTTACCGGAAATATTTCAAATTTGGATTTTGAGTTTTCTAATGGGTACTACATCCCATGACAGAAAATTGCTAATGCAGGTCCACATCTTCATATAGCAACATCACAGTAAGTGTGGATTTTTAAGATAATTTTTCAAAGTATATCAAAAAGTTTGAAACTAGCATATTTATTCAAGGCGAATCTTAGCTGGAATCTTGAAGATTTCTCAAGAAGTATCCGATCTGTTATCCGTGTCCATGATCATTATTAGAAATTCGACAAATACTCACTGTGTTTTTTAGGCTCTCTATCGTATTTAATTAGCTCCACAAAGAGAATATTTTGTCGTTTCCGTAAAATCTCCACATCACAATGTTTGGTGTAGACCAGCAGATTTCTTTCACGATCAAATAAATCAAAGAGCTGAAAAGATATTAAAACTTGGATTACTACCCAGTATCCTTTAAAAACAAAATACCACTTGTTATACTTCTCCAAAGTCCGGAAAATCTTGTTCATCCACCAAAATTTTTCGAACCTTCGTGATCAATTCTAAACGGTCTGACTTCTTTAGTGGTTTTTGCAGATCCTTATAGATTTCGGTTAGGAAGCGCACCCTCTGAGTCCGTAGTAAATCTAAATGGACAATGGTATCTAAAAATATCCAAATTATAAATATTCTCTCTGCCATGATATTAAATCCTCCTACACTACCTCCATAACCCACCCATTTGATGGGCTCTCCCAACTTCTTCAACATTTGTTCCTGACGAAAATCCTTCATGGCCTCAGAGACGATTTGACGTTGGCGTTCTATACCATTCAACAGTTGAATTTCCTTATCCAACAGTATATTGACCTCTGCCACCCTTGCCGCTCCCTCATACATGCTGGCAATCCGTTTTAATTCAGCCATTTTCCATTTTTGCACCTCTCCATAGAGCAAATCAAAATCATCTTGGGTACGTGGGAATTGTTTTGCCATCTCTTCACGTTTTATTCGTCTCTCTTGGACTTCTTGGAACGATTCTTCTTCGGCCAGACGATTGGCCACCAGGCGTCTAATATAAAAAATCGTAAGTGAATTTCGCATTAGAGATAGAGAATATATAAATTGGTCTCACCTATATTCCTTAGCACACTGACGCATCCATTTTATCCATTTGTAGCGTCGAAAATTCCGTTGTATTAGACATATTTTTCCTATCTTATTTTTGATACGCTCCTGCTGGGCATGCGTTACATATTTTCCAGCTGTTATATAGTAATCCGTAGCCTCAGACCAATAACGAACATTATTGCCATCCAACCAACACTGGGAGGTTTGATCGTGCATGGTATCCTAGAGGGGTCGGAGGCCAAGAAAGATAAAGTGGTTAAAAATTTGCTTGCAGACCACTACTTACCACCAATTTGACTTTATGTTCAAAAGTTTGAGTGTCTCGTGAAAAATGTCCATCGTATTTACATTTGCTGATAAAAGGTCCAGTTTGGGTGAAGGCGTCTAAATATTCAATACCTGAAATAAAAAAGAAACATTTTCAGAATTTTAAATGAGCACAGGACCAGCACTTTGTCCATTTTGTAAGAGAAATGGATTTCAGACACTCATGAACTTAAATTAAAACAAGTAAAAAAGCAGATAAGTTCTACAGATTCGAACTATTAATACTCTACACCATTTGGAAAAAATTTTAAAATTTTCAAAAAAAAAAAAAAAAAACAAAAAAAAAAAAACAATCCCAAAACTACCACTTAATTGAAACCCGTTATTTGGGGATCATATGAAGAACTGGACCTGCTTTTTTCTCATCCAAATTTTGGTATTCAAATAATTCAATTTCAAATACCAAATTTTAGCACTTCCGGTGAATAATGTAGTATAAATCATAAACATACCAAATATCGGGATGTGCTGTTATATAGGGGCTATACGAAGGCGTGGACATGCACAGACAATTTTCTGTCATAGGCTGTAGTATCCATTACGAACGCCAAATACCAAATTTAAAACATTTCCAAAATACCGATAATGGAGAGGTACCATTATATGGGGGCTATACCAAAACGTGGACCTACGTGTCCCATTTACAATACCAAAAGTCCTATATAGATTTGAGTAAAATTTTATCCACCTACTTCATTTCGTTTGGAAGCTAGAGTGATTTCCACAGATGAATAGACGGACCGACGTACGGAGATCGCTAAATCGACACAGAATTTTATGCTGATCAAGAATATATATACTTTGTGGGATCTAAAATGTATATTTCGAGGTGTTACAAACGGAATGACAAATTTAATATACCCTCCATATTATGATGGAGGGTATAAAAACAGCTGTTTGCCAAAAATTAATTCGTAGCACTTTCAAATGGTTAAGAGAATCAAATAAAAATTGCAAGTTTAATGGTGAATGGTGGGAAAATCGGTTATCGTAGTAAAAAAATTGTTTTCTGATGCTTTAATCAAAATATTTAATTTATTGCCTGAAATATGTAAAGATTTTCACATAGGTTTAAAAAAACTGATGATGGAGTACAATGCTCTCTAACAAATTTTACCTGCTGAAATTTTGCGAACTTTCAGTGAATTCCTTTCTTTACTTATTTTCATGTACTGGACTTTTGGATTTTTGTAATAATTTATAGAAATAATTTGGTCTGCTCCAGAATTGCAATACTACGATAACCAATTTACCCTTTACAATATCGAAAAAAAAATCAAAAGTAGTTGATTCTTGTAGGTACTAGAACAGACCAATTGTGTTATTGTACACGCCTTTCTTCAAGCATTAGATCTTTATTGGACCTAAAATTAAATGTAGCCTCTGCATTCCTTAAACTTACCCGTATTCTTATCCACATAACCACACAAGAAAGGTTTAGAAATGGTTTTATTGAGAATTTCCACAACAATATTCTTCGGTTTGCCATTGCGTGAATCTTCCGGTGGTATATAAACCGTAATGAAATCGGGTAAACGGTGCTTGCTGTTGGAGATAAAAATAACTCCGTCAAAACAGTCTCGTGCTCGATATCAATATTCTTTTTAACTTACTTATAATAAACTTCCAAATCTAATTTGGGTTCTCTCTTCCTTCTGTCATCGTCGTCTTCTGCTTCACCTTCACTTCCACCATACATAGATAACTTGGAACACTTCTCCACACCGCTTAAAGATAATCCAAACTCATGTATTCCAAATTCATCACAAACCGTTTCACGTATACGATATTCATCCGAGAGAATACGATTATTTTGGGAGAGTCTCAATAAATCGGGATGTACTTCAAAACGTCTGCCCATGTCGATTTTAACTTCACCCAATGTCATACAGTTTGGATAGACTTGGGCAATGACTTGATTAATGGCCAAGCGAAATTTTACCGTTACATTTTCAATTGTTACAATTTCGTCTTGATCATCGTCTGGATTTTTGGAACTCTCCTCTGGTGGGGAGACAGAGGGTTTGCTGGAAGAGCTGGATGGAAATTCAATGATGGGACCGACTTTATCTTCATTTTTAGTTGAAGTCGTGCTGGTTGGTGGATTCAACACCACTTCGCTAATGGTTGGCAATTTTTGTTCACCGCTCATTTGTGTTTACGGGATTGGTTTAATTTAAATGTGTCGGGAAATATGTTGTCTGCTTTTAGATTTTGAAAATTAAAAAAAATATATTGAAATATTTAGAAAATAGTGGTGTTTCTTGCAGTGACTTTTCCTTCTGCTTAGTAGTTAAAAAGTGTAGATACGCCCTAAACAACAACTGTTGCCGTGACAATTCAATGCAAGAGACTCGAGACAGTCTAGTTTATACTTTATTTTATTATGAAGTAAACAAAGTTAATGAATCTTAATTAATATTCAAATAAATTCAAGATGAACTGTGGCAAAAAACTAAAGTTTGCTAAGTGATTTGAGAGTATATAGCTTTAATCAAAAATTTTCCTTATATACTTTCTATAATCGTTTTGGATTTGCAATTTGGACTTGCAGTTCGATTACAGGCTTGGCTTTTAGAGGCCTTTACAAAAATTCACAAAATTAGATATTTGTTTTCAATGAAAGTTATACCAAGTTCACATGGAACATAATTCACTCTCTTCTATTCGTTGTTCGACCTTTAATTATTGGCAATAGCATTTTTGGCACTTTGTTAAATCGAACAGAGAATTTGTCGAATTTTAAAATAGAACAAAAAAAAAAAATAAAACTGTAAGTTCGGCCGGGCCGGGTATTCACTCCACCATTTGGAACGAATTTGGCAACTTTAAAAAAATAAACACCGTTAGAAATTCTTTTAATATCTTAAAAATATCGAATGTAGTCCTTCTATTAGGGTCTATATGACGACTTGGACCTGCATAGGCAACTTTTATCATAATATTCTAATGCGAAACTTGAAAAAAATAATGAATAATGTGCCTAAAATGATCAAGATACCGAATATCGGGAGGTACTGTTATATGGGGGCTATACGAAGGCGTGGACATGCACAGACAATTTTCTGTCATAGGCTGTAGTATCCATTACGAACGTCAAATACCAAATTTAAAACATTTCCAAAATACCGATAATGGGGAGGTACCATTAAAAGGGGGCTATACCAACACGTGGACCTACATGTCCCATTTGCAATACCAAAAGTCCTAATATAGATTTGAGTAAAATTTTATCCACCTACTTCATTTCGTTTGGAAGCTAGAGTGATTTCCACAGACGAATAGACGGACCTACGGACGGACATCGCTAAATCGACACAGAATTTTATGCTGATCAAGAATATATATACTTTGTGGGGTCTAAAATGTCTATTTCGAGATGTTACAAACAGAATGACAAACTTAATATACCCTCCATACTATGGTGGAGGGTATAAAAATAACAAGTAAAAAAGCAGCCGAATTTTTAATACCCTCCACCATTTGGAAGGAACTTGAAAAGTTTCAAAAAACTTCCGGAAACTACCACTTAAATGAAAACTGTTATATGGAGACGTGGACCTGCATACAAAATTTTTTGCCATGTGCTGTAGCATCCATTACGAACTTCAAATACGAAATTTGAGATAATTCCAGTAAATTATGTCGCTAAAATCATGAAAATACCGAAAATCGGGTTATATGGGGGCTATACGAAGACATGGGCCTGCAAAAAATTCTTATCATAGGCTGTAGTGCCCATTACGAACTTCAAATACGAAATTTGTTACAATTACGGTGAATGAATTACGGTTGTAGTACCCATTAGGATTTTTCAGTACGAAATTTGAAACAATTCCGGTGACTAATGTTTTTAATACCCCCCACCATTTGGAAGGAACTTGAAAAGTTCCAAAAAACTTCTGAAAACTACCACTTAAATGAAAACTGTTATATGGAGACTATACGAAGACGTGGACCTGAATACAATAATTTTTGTCATAGGCTGTAGTACCCATTACGAACTTCAAATACGAAATTTTAAATAATTCCGGTAAATACTGTCGCTAAAATCATGAAAATACCAAATATCGGGAGGTACCGTTATATGGGGGCTATACCAGGACGTGGGCCGACATGGCCCATTTACGAACTTAACCTGCATATTGGTAACCTATGCATGTATGCAACATTTTAGCCTTCTATCTCAAGTCGTTCGAAAGAATGCGTGATTACAACAGACAGACAGAAAAATTCTAGGTCGTCTTAGAAATTTTTATCTGATCCAGAATATATATGCTTTGTTGGGGCTATTATGAATATTTCAAGGAGTAACAAACGGAATGACAAAGTAAATATACCCCGTCGAATATGGGCAACCATGTACGTCTTCGTATAGCCTCCATATAACGGTACTCCCCGATATTTTTTTCAAGTTTCGCATTTGGATATTATAATGGTTTATGACAAAAGTTGACTATGTAGGCCCACGTCGTCGTATAGACCCTAATATAAGATTTTAACGGATTGTATATTTTTGAGAATTACCAAATTCGATGCAAATGGTGGAGGATATTCAAAGTTCGGCCCGGCCGATTCTACTGCTTTTTTGCTTGTTTTTTATTTAGTTTTTTATTGCAATTATTTAGTTTATTTAGTCAATTTATTGCATTTTTAAAAACTTTATTTGTGTAGAAACGCTATTTATACAAATATCAATATAGGTCCACATTTTGGTACATCAGTTATATAATGATAGTACCTATACGATAATGATAATAAATTATATTTATTTAAAATTTTTAATTTCTGGGATTTGAACTATTACATTGAAAATGCAGAACAAGTATTCCTAAAATTTAATATTTTAATGCTTTTATATCCTTCCTCTTAATGTAATACAAGTACGAATATTGCAACATTTCATGGAATAGGTAGGAAACCGATACAAATTAAAATCAAAATAATTAATAATTAATTAGATATACAATAGACCACGCCTATAAACACAGTAGTTGGCGGTTTGTAAAGTATTACAAGTTTTTTTTTTAATTATAGGAAGGAAGAAATTTTCATTATACCCGACGCCACCCTCAGGTTATTTTGCCTTTGTGCATTTGTTTGTAAGAGGCAAACGGAACGAGATAGATATTTAGCTCCTATATATACATTCGCCCAATTTCTGGTTTATTATGCACCAAAAGTGTATTATACGACAAAAGCACATACGATTTGTATGATTAGCCTGTAAATTTGGTGAAAATCGGTTCAGATTTATATATAGCTTCCATATATATGCCAATGTTCGATTATTTAAATATATTTTGATTTCTGTTATGATTATTCAAATTGTTGACCCTCTATGGAGTAAGTTCCGAAGGAATGGCTAATATTGTCCATTCCGTATCGGACCTATATAAAAATTATATAAATATTGTGACAAGCCAGGTTTGGACTATATTTGTCATATATGAGATATGTGTCAATTTTTAGAAAACGTTAAAATTTGCAGATCAGAAGATATTATTAGCATGGACAAAATTACAAGAAAGTCGAACATTTATATCCAATTTTATGCGAAATCAGAAATTCCATATTCATCTCAGGTTTCTAGTTGATAGAAATATTTAGATATAGCAAGTTGTAAGGAATTGCTGACTTCTTTCGCAAGTTATGACAGATAAAATTATTGAAAAATGTAACCCTTTATGGGTGATGTACCGGGAGGGGTTCGCAGACATATCATCTTTACAACTGATCTTGTGTTAGCAAAAATGTTTGTATGTGTGAAATTTGAAGAGAGTTGGATGCTTATTTTGCTTCCTTTGAGCGTTTTGTTTTTCCAAAATCTTGAACCCAGAAGAAATGGTCCGATCTCTACCATTTTTATACCCTCAGCCATATGGCTACAGAGGGTATATATCATTTGATACGGTCAAAACGTGCCTAGTCGAAATAACGGTTTTAGACCCTAGGTCTCTTTGGACCAAATCCGTTTCAGAAGATTTGGAGTCGTTCTGCCGATGTCCGTCCGTCCGTCTGTCTGTCTGGCTGGTGCGCACGATAACTTTTGAAGGGAGTATCCGATTTGATCCATACTTGGTACATCGTAATATTTTTGTCAAACTTAGATCGAGTTCGGAGATGAGCAATATATATGATTGCACGTTCTGGAGCAGAGCTAAAGCTAGATATTCATTCAAATCTCTAGGGAAATAGGGAACAAACCCCTTTTTTCAGTTAAACTCATAATATTATCTTAAAAAATTAAAAACCCCAATTTGGAGCTGAATCATCAATCCCCCCAATTTGTTGTATTTATACCCTACAACACTGTATGTTGGAGGTATTATAAGTTTGATTGGGCCAGAATTTATGTAACACCTCGAAATATTGGTTTCCCATATAGGAAAGTATACATGGATCTTCCTAGCTCGCCGAGCTGAGTCGATCTAGCTATGTATGTCCGTCCGTCTGTCCATGTTAATTTGTAATCACGCTACAGGTCGCAATTATGACCCGATCCTTACGAAATTTTGCACGAAGGTGGGGTTAGGATCAGAATAGAAGCCTATTTCTTTTGGAGATGATCGCCAAATGTTTAGGGGTTGAAATGGACTAAATACTGAAAAAATGTCGGATTTTGCAGTCGCAATTATAGACCAATCGAAGCGGAATGTATCTAGAGTTTAGGGCGGGGAAGAAGCCTACCAATTTGGGTGGTCATCGGATAATATTTAGCGGGTAAAATAGACCATAGCTTTTGTGTTGAAAAAATCCAAATTTTTTCATTAAACCGCGAATATTTTAAATCCCGGCTAACTCACAAAGCCATGACAAGGCTACTTCTGACCTTTACATTGATGTTAACATCCAACAAATCGAATATATAGCAAAATATGTGCGATATATATGTCTATCAAAGAAGATATGCTTGAAAGATCTCTTATATGTCGAGAACGACTGAACTGATTTCGACAGTTCTCATTAATCTAGAATGGACTCTTGGCAGGAAAGAGAAAACGGCTAAAAAAATCGCATAAAAATATCTGTTTAAAGATGAAAATATTGTTTTTGTAACATTTTCTCATATTTTTTAAATTTTGTAATATTTTTGGCATATTTTCATTTTGAATTAAACATTTGGTAATATTTCTACAGATGACAAAACTAAGTAGTTAGGATAGCAGGATATCATATACAGATCGCATTTATGGCCCGATCCTTACGAAATTTTGCATGGGGATAAGATGAGGGTCAGAATAGAAGCTTACTCTATTTGGAGATGATCGCCATATATTTAGGGGTTGAAATGGACCAAAATACTGCAAAATTGTCAGCCGATCGTAATTATCGCCCGATCCTCACGCACATTTGAATGGGGGTTACCGGACATTGCAAAATCCAAGCAGTTTTGGATGACCATCCAAAAATATTCAATGTGTGAAATAGTTTGCCAACTTTTGTAGACAAAATACAAAAATGTCCATTCCAGTGACTTTTAGGAGAATTCACAAATACAGGAAAGACGCACTTCTGACTATTTCTTTGGTCTATAGGTCTTTGCGAAATATTGGTTCCAGATTTAGGAAGACCGTTTACGTGCAACATCTACCAATAAATTGGAAATGAGCAAATTAGTTTAAGTTGCTATTATTCGAAAATTAGAGAACGAAGCCTGATAGTTTTCTTTTATTATTTGTCACAATATCTTGTGGAATTCTTTCGAGTATCTCGCCTATACAAACTGTATCGTTTATTATAGTGTTGTAGGGTATTCAACGGTCGGCCCCGCTCGACTGTAGCCTTTGCTTAGTTGTTTTTCTCTAATATTATCGCATTCGTTTGTTTATTCGTTTCATATCCGAACATAATTTATATATCTTTTATATCCATCGATAAACAGTTAATTAACTAATTTTTAACATCAGGTGAAAATTTATGATCCATATCATTGATTGGACCCATTTTACCGATGCTTATCGAAATGTAGAAAGCATAACACAAAAAAAAATATATATATACAAACCAATACCTATTAATAGATGCATATTTAATTCATATATTATTTCAATATTTGTTATGAATATGTATGCATTTAAAATTATGTAACATTATTATCGGTAGCAATTCCAAATTTCAAATAATTTGTTTATTTTTTATTTAGGTATTATTTTTTGTTTTCTTTCCATTTGCCTTGTCTGTTACTGAATCTCTTTATTAGCTGGCCACAAACACAGCTCAATTAACTAATCGTCTTCAAAATCTTGTTGTGTGATAAAATCGTCACGTTTTAAATTAATTATCTGCACATCTGTTTTCTGTTTCATTCTGCCAATCGATCGATCCATTTGTCATCTATTCGAATTATAATCGTTGTCATTTTTTATTCGCCTATAATCGTATTCAAAGGAATGTATAACGAATTATTAACAAAAATATATTTCTATTTGGAGAAATTTCAAAATTGAAAGTGTAAAAAATTGCATGTATGTTTTGAGGGGTTGGGTAATCTGCATAACATAAAGCTATAAAGGTTTGACAGCCACAAGTCAACATTTTCAACATTTTTAGACCACTATCAGGTTCCGTGGATGGCAAGTTAATAGACAATCTAAAGGTATTGCTGTTAGGTGAGTTACTAATGGCACATTATCGTGAAGTGTAGGACTAGAGGTCCTGCGACTTAGCGAATGTAAGCTACCAGCAAATTCTTTTAAGCCCTGTAATATCCTTTTATAATTGTCTTAAAGAAACCGTTACTAAACGAACGAAATATGAAATAATACGTTCCTATTAGGAACATGACAACAAATTCGTGGCCAAAACTTACAGATTTTAATGTACATTTATTTTTAATACCAATCGTAAGAAAGAAATTATAAAAAGGCCTGAAACATAGCAGCTTGGCATCTTGGCTAGGCATATTAATGTTAAATTATAAGGAACGAGTAAAAAGCTGTAAAAAGTTGAGTACCCTCCACCATTTTGAACGAATTTGGCAATTTTCAAAAAAACAAAATTCGCTAAAAAATGCCGCTAATGTCGCTAAAATCATCAAAATACCGAATATCGGGACTTACCGTTATATGGGGGCTATACAAAGACCTGCACGTACAATTTTCTGTCAAGGGCTGTAGTATATATTATGAACTTCAAATACCAAATTTGAAACATTTCCGATAAATAATTTTGCTTAAATCACCAACACACCAAAAATAGGAAGGTACCTTCGTATAGCCCCCATATAACGGCACCTCCCAATATCCGGTATATTGAAGATTTTAGCGACATTATTCACCGGAATTGTTTCAAATTTGGTATTCTAAGTTCGTAAAGGATACTACAGCCTAAGATAGAAAATTGTCTGTGCAGGTCCACGTCTTCATATAGCCCTAATATAACCGTACCTCTCGATATTCTGTATTTTGATGATTTTAGCGACGTTATTCACCAGAATTGTTTCTAATTTGGTATTTGAAACTCGTAATGGATACTGCAGCCTAAGACAGAAAATTGTCTGTGCACGTCCACGTTTTGGTATAGCCCCATATAACGGTACCTCCCTACATTTGGTATTTTGATGATTTTAGCACATTATTCACCAAATTTTTTTCAAGTTTCGCATTTGGATGTTGTAATGGCTTACGACAAATTTGGCCCACGCGGATCCACGTCTTCGTATACATACGGCTACATTCGGTATTTTTAAGTTTTTAATATAATTTTTAACGGATTTTATTTTATTTTTTTTTTTTTGAAAATTGCTAAATTTGTTCCAAATGGTTCAGCCCGGCCGTATTTACAACGTTTTTCTTAATATGCCCTCCACCATAGTATGGAGTACATCAATCTACTTTAACGCCTCGAAATATAAATTTTAGAACCCACAAAGTATATATATTCTTGATCAGCACAAAATTCTATATCGATTTAGCAATGTCCGGTCTGTGGAAGTCACTCTAGCTTCCGAACGAAATGAAGTAGGTTCATAAAATTTTAGTCAGATGTATTTTATGTGTGCTTTTTGGTGTTAAAATAGGCCAAGTAAGTCTACCATTTTGGTACAGTCCCCCTATATAAGTGCCATCGGATTGAAGGTGTTTTGCTTGTTTTAGTCACAGTTTGAACTCGAATTTGTTGTAAATTCATTGCATATAACATTCTATATGGGTCTAAGTTTTGATTCTTTTTCTGAACTCAAAGGGGGAACACGTTTAAACTACAAATACTAGTAAGACCATTTGGATTATGATCCATACTATGCTCCGCCAGAAAAGCAAAAATAAAAATACCATATGTTAGACAGATCCGTGGAAAATGTGGCAAAAAATAATCAAAACACTGAATATTGGGAGTTACCGTTATATGGGGGCTATACGAAAACGTGAACCTATATATTCAATGGTCCGCCACCGGAGTAAGAAGCTATTACGACCTACAAATACCATTTCTTAGACAAATCCCTGGAAAAAATGTGGCAAAAACCATCGAAATACCGAAGATCGGGAGCTATCGTTATATGGGGGCTATACGAAAACCTTGACGAATATATGTCATTTTCAACACCAACCATCTTACACACAAAACTCTACGTCAAATAATTCGGGCTATATTGTGATTTTAAAAGAGAGAGACGGACGGACAGACAGGCGGACATCATTAGAATTTAATGCTGATTCTGTATATATGTACTTTATGGGGCCTACGACGAATATTTAGGGATGTTACAAACGGAATGACAAAGTTAATTTACCCTTCTTTTCAAGATAGATGTTATAATAAATAATTATGATAATTAAAACCATTTTGTTTGCAATCCATCTCACCTTTCTCCTTCCCCATTTCCGCAATCAAAAACACAAGCAACTGATGATTTTCGTCAATTTTTAGTTAACACACTAAAGTAAATTAAAATAGAAAACTTAATAAATAATATTTTTATTAAAATAGAATGAAGATTTAAGATTTTGTGGCGTTAACTTGGATTTCGGTCCGGCGTGGGCCACTTGCAGTCTAAACGGCCGTCCATTGAAGTAATAATCATTTCGATCCAAACGATAAACTTTGCTTTCGGCCACACTGGGTGAGGATGTGGATATTGAGGAAGTTGTGGGCATTTTTGTTGTCTCTACAAACGAGGGAATTCTGGAAGGGAGCTCATACTGTGGTGGCTTCGTTTGGTGTTGGTGCGGATGCAATTGACTAGATAAGGCGGCCTGAAGATACGAGTTCTGCAATTGTTGTTGATAATTTTTGTAGGGATTTTGAATGGCGCCACCATAGCTTTCATAGCTAGGATAGTCCGTTGTCACAGGCACCTCTGGCAGCGATGATGGTTCCACAAGTAGTGGTTTAATTTTCATGGGTTGATAGTCGTAGCCAATGCCGGGTATAAAACGATATGGCATTGGTGGTATTGGTATGTAATAGATGCGTGAATCCTTTTTAGTTTTCTTTGTCTTTGGGCGTGTTGAGTATTTTCGTAGCGTAAGAGGTTTCGATGAGACAATGAAATCCTTGAAAATGTTCTCAACACTTGGGCTTTCGAATATGACCTTTGTTGTCAGTGGCGATTGTGGTGGCATCTGCGGTGAGTTCAGTGATTTTTGCCTTGCCTCTGTTAAGCTGTTGGGGTTTATGACATAACATGTCGCCGGTGTCGAGGGTATTATGACCAGGGCAGCCAAAAATGTGCATATAAGTGAGGTTAAAGTAAATGTGTTAGGTTGATGATAACGCAGCAGCATTCTGAAATGAGAAATTAGGAAAATAATTAAAAACAAATAAAAAATCAGTAAGTTAAGTCGAGCCGAACTTTTAATACCCTCCATCATTGCGTGAAGAAAACATGTTTATATAAAAATATCTGAATTTAAACGTGTTACACTTTAAGCTACAAATACCAGTAGAACCGTTTGGATAAGGCAAAAAAAACATAAAGTGGGTGAGGCCATAATATGGGGGCCATACCAATACGGAACCTCCATAGACAATTTTATACTTCAAGGATTGTCATCTATCAAAACTTCTTAAATACCAAATTTGAAACAATTTCATGGATAAATGTGACTAGGAATATCAAAATACCGAATATTGGTTGGAGTCGTTATATGTGTCCTATGAGAAAATGTGGACCTTAACACCAATACCAATTTTAAGACAAATCCGTGGGAAAATTTGGCAAAAATCATCAAAACACCGAATATCTGGAGGTAGCGTTATATGGGGGCTATACCAAAACGAGGACCTATGTATACTCTGTTCCGTCGCCGCGGCTAAAACCCATTACAAATTACAAATACCAATTTTTATACCCTACAACACTACACCGTTAAGGGTATTATAAGTTTGATTGGCCAAAAAATTATGTAACACCTCGAAATATTGGTTTCCCACATAGGAAGGTATATATGGATCTTCCTATTTCGCCGAACTGAGACGATTTTGCTATATATGTCCGTTCGTCCGTCTGTCCATGTTAATTTGTAATCACTCTACAGGTCGCAATTATGGCCGGTCTTCACGAAATTTAGACTGGAGGTGGGGCTGGAGTCAGAAGAGAAGCCTATTGCTGTTGGATATGATAGCATAATATTTAGGGGTTGAAATGAACCAAAAACTGAAAAATTTCCTGATTTTCAGTTGCTCTACAGCTCGCAATTATAGACCAATCGAAGCGGAAGTTAGCACGGGGCTAGAGCTTAGGGCTGGGCAGAAGTCTTCCAAATTTGGTTGGAAATATTTATAATAGACCATAACATTTGTGTTAAATAGAAGTCCATTTTCCTTTAAATCGCGAGTATTTTTCAAACCCGGCGAAATCCAAATAGACGAAAAGGTAAACTCTGACCGTTACGTAGTTGCCAATAGCAAATGTATCGGATTTATATAGCGAAATATATACAATGTGTACATACAAAAGGAGGGGATGTTAGCTAGAATGCTCATATCTTAAGAATGGCTGGACCGATTTTGACAAATTTTGTCAATTCAGAATGCCCTATTAGCATAAAAGAATAAAATCTAAAAAATTCCATAAAAAGATGATGTGAATATAGATTTTGTAGTATTTTGTGACATTTTTTCATTGTTTTATTTTTTCATGTTTTTTATTAAAATTTTTAAAATTTTTTTCAATTTGACTTATAATATTGAAGTGTAAATTTTGTATTATTTTTTCACTTTACAACACAGGTTGGGGATATTATATACAGATTGCAATCATCGTCTGATCCTCACAAAAATTTTTACGAGGGTAGGGTTAGGCTCAGAAGGGCTAGGACTATTGTTTTCAAAGATGTCCGCAATATATTTAGGGGTTGGAGTGGACCAACAACTAAAAATGTTCCTGATTTTGCAGCCGTTATAAAGGTCATAAATAGAAACCAAAAGACACGAAATCTCGCATGAAGTTAGAGTTTAGGACAGCGGGTAGATTGGACCACTATTTTTGTGTTAAAAAATACCAACACTACTTACAGGCTTTTTATGCTGATTTCGTTGACGAATATATCCAAATATCGTAGACAAGCAAATCATATAGATGATTCTAAATCTGGAGGTACAGAGGGGCCTCTTGCTTTTAGAGATGATCGAAAAATAATTAGGGGTTCAAATGAACCAAAAAAAGATAAAAAATCCTAATCACACGATTGAAGCCATTCGACACCCCTGAGAAGAGCGTTAAGGACAGGGAAGAATTCTAGCATGACCATTGGATTATATTTATCTGTAAAATGGACCACAACAACTAACATCACGACAGAGTGAATATTGGGCGCCGTGACATAATTTCAAAAGCGAAATCTTCCAAAATGGATTTGGACATAAGAGTGCTTCTAACATGTTGTAGTGTTGTAGGGTATCACATGGTCGGCCCCGCACGACTATAGCCTTTGTTTACTTGTTATTGTTATGTTTGTATTGTTTTGTTATAAGGGAGTATATACAATTATTCTCCACCGGAGCTAGAATCCAATATGACCTCCAAATACCAATTTATAGACAAATCCGTGAAAATCATCAAAATACCGAGTATCGGGAGGTCCGTTATATGGAGGCTATACCAAAACGTGAACCGATATATCTCATTTTTAATACAAACCATCCTAGACATATAATGTTCTGTCAAATGTAAAAACACTAGGCTGTATCGTGATTTCGACAAACAGACAGATGGGCATCATTAAATCGACTTAGAATTTTATGCTGATTATGAATATATATATACACTTTATGGGGTCTACGACGAATATTTAGGTATGTTATACCCTCCTTTTCAATGTGGAGGGTTTAAATATACCGAATATATGGAGGTACCGTTATATGGGGGATATACGAGGATGTGGATCTCTATGAGCAAATTTCTGTTATAAGATTTAGTACCGATTGGGAAACTTTAACTTCCAATTTGCAAAAAATACAATGATTGTGGCATAAATCATCAAAATACCGAATATCTGTAGGTACAGTTATATGGGGACAATACTAATTACTGTTTTTTACTGTTAGCCTAGTACCTAGATTCTAGGTTCCTTAATAAAATAATATCCGAATCTAATTGGTTTCAATATAAATTGACAAAATTTATTGTTATATCATATTTCTTTGAAATTGTTCGGTGCAAGTTTTTATTTCAGTTCATTTACTTTTTTCGTCTGCCAGTAAAAGCTCATTTCACCTATTGCCCTACTGTCAAAAAATGTTTTATTTTCCCAAAAAGAAAATTTGTTATTTTTTAAAAATGGTTGCATCCGTTGGTTTTGGAGATGCCGTGTCGGTGTCCGGACATAATCCCCACGGACAATTATGGGAATAATGTCCGCTTCCAAAATGGACACAATCCCCTTAGGCAGTATGGCCGTTTGCTATGGACTATTTACAAAAATAATAAATTTTAAAAATCTTTGATTCGCGGTAGGCGATGCGGGACATACTCAGAGAAGAAAATCACAAGGGCCGGCCATTTTGACTACATACCCAGAGGAGAAAATCTAAAGTTTCGCACACCCAATCGTTTTGGGCATACCCATTATTATATGGATTATGTCCGCAACTTTCTGGGTATTATGACCGAACCCCCATAATGGAATAGGGATTATGTCCAAGAAAAAAAAAACGGTCATAAGCCACAGAAAGTAGCGGACATAACCCCTATAATAATGGTTATGTCCAAAGACTTTCTCCTCTGGGCATGTCCGGTATCGGCTAACGCGAACCGAAGTTTATTACATTTACTAATTTTTGTAAGTAGTACCCACAGCAAACGGTCATATACCCTCCTCCCCCCTTATTGTGGGGATTATAATCGAAAAAAGGTCATAATCCCCATTCCAATTATGGGTAGGGATTATGTCAGGGCGCCGGTTTAGGATTTTCCATTTTAAATAAAAGTGTAAATAGGGGTGTCGGAAATATCTACCTATCTCGCCTAGTTGGGTCGATTTAGCTATGTGTGTCCGTCTTTCCATTTTTATTTGTAATCTCGCTACAGATCACAATTACGACGCAAACATCACGAAATTTTACGTTGAGTCACAGTTAGAATCAGAATAAAAACTTTTAGGACTTGAAATGGACCAACAAGAGATTTTTCAGATTTTGTAGACTCTCATGCCATAATTATATCCCAATTTGCACCCAATTTTGCGTGGGGTTAGAGTTTAGAACATCCTACCTTTTGTATGAAATATCCATTTTCAAACACAATATTTTACTTTGTTTAAATTTTGTGAATGAACGATTGATATTTATACCCTACACCACAAGGTGGTCAGTGTATTATGTCTTTGTGCATTTGTTTGTAACAGGCAAAAGGAAACGAGATAGACCCATAGTTCCTTTTGATGATCTGCATAGAATCACATTCTGAGTCGATTTATGCATGGCCGTCCGTCCGTCCGTCTGTCCATGTATTTTTGTAAACAAAGTACAGTTCGCATTTATTGCCCTATCCAGATGAAATTTTGCACAAGTCATTTGTTTGGCCCAAGGACGAACCCTATTGGAGATAATCGGTCAAAATTTAGATATAGCTCCCATATATATCTTCGTCCGATTTGCTTTTTTATTGCGCACCAAACGTGTAATATCAGTCCGAATAGTATGGAATTTTGCCCGTACGATCAGATTGGACCTGAAAATAAGTATGCCAAATTTGATCGAAATCGGTTCAGATTAACTATAGCTCCCATATATATTGTTCATCCGATTTGTTATTTTTGTGCTCCGCAGCCGTAATATGCACTCTGTGACAACAATATTTGGGGAAATATATAAAATTCAGCTCAGAAATATATTTGCTAAATTTTATCGAGATCGGTTCAGATTTGGATATAGCTCCCATATATAACTTCGTCCGATTTATTTTAGATTGTGCACCAAACGTCTAATATTTGCCCAAATTGGATGAAATTTGGTACTTACAACCAAATTGAGTCTAGAAGCAAGTATGTCAAATTTGGTGAAGATCGGTTCAGATATAGTTATAGCTCCCATATATACTTTTCATCCGATTTGTCATATTTGTTACCCACAACCGTAATGTGCCGTCCGTAACAACGATATTCAGGGAAATATATCAAATACAGCTCAGAAATATCTTTGCCAAATTTTATCGAGATGGGTTCCGATTTGGATATAGCTCCCATATATATTTTTATCCGATTTCAAATAAATTGTGCACCAAATGGGCAATACAAGTCCGAATTTAAAAGATACAAATGCTTCGGCATATTTAGTCCTTTGAA